TAGTCAACGCGGTCTAAAAGCCGTAACAAAAACAACAAACTAAACAGTTAGCAGATATAATATACTCAGTTTACCCTCCACAAACTAAACAGTTAGCAGATATAATATACTCAGTTCATTACCCTCCACAAACTAAACAGTTAGCAGATATAATATATTCAGTTTACCCTCCACAACTAAACAGTTAGCAGATATAATATATTCAGTTTACCCTCCAATCAATGATTTAGCTCATTATAATACAAAAGATATGTCACCCCACCGTATGATAAGACGCAGTTGCATTGGTGCACCCTCTCCTTACTCACCGCAATGTGGTATGTTGCAGTATTCCCAAGCTGGAATGCTGGAGCTGCCTGCCACAAAACACCACGGTTTCTCTTTCTCTGCACCTGGGTTCCTGCAGTAGCTGTTCTTAAGATCGTCTCCTGGATACCTGCCAGAATACATTGTCAGCTGTTGTTATTTAGCTCTTAGTTAGCACTTAGCTCCTAGTCGGCTCTTAATTACGTATCAGTCAGCTCTTAGCAGCTATTATTAGTCAGCTATTGTATTAGTTAGCTATTAGCAATTAAGAAATTGTATGATTTCAAAATTTCAATTCATCATGAACCTGGTTGAGGTGTAATCGTGTGCCGTCCTAGTGTTGGAATCCCAGCTGAGACATTTGTAACCGGAGGCACTAGTGTCTTCCTTACCACGGTAGTTGAGGCCTTGTGGGTCTAACTCTGAGCTCCAACACCCCACTACATCTGAGACAGTATTTCAATAAACATTTAGTATTTGATAGTGAATAACGATGGATCTGTTGGGAGAATTAACAGAATATTTTCAAAAAGAATCTCAGGTGAATTTAGGTAATATCCTATTTCTTAAGTCAGAGATTTCCTTTGTGAAAAAAATCTTATAAATGGGGGCGTTTTTATTTTTTTTGTTTGATAAATAGAGTATGGTCTCGATTCTAAAATTGAAGACTAATTCTTAACCGCCAGCAAAAGTAAGTTTATGTCACAGAATAAAAACAACGCTGAACGAAGTTTTCTTACACAATCAGAATGTCACAGTATCCCAGCGAGGGGCAAGTTCCCTCTGAGTTGTAAGACACCAGGGCCCATAGGTTCACCGTCAGGGTTCCTGCACTCGTTCACAGTTAGTCCGGACGTAGTTCCCCTGAGTGTGTTGTTAGTCTAGCTTGTCATCCGTCATCAGTTCATTATTAGTCATTGTAGTTTGTGGTGTTATCATACATTTTAACTTAGGCCAATGAGTATGACTGGTAAGACCGTGGCATCGTCCACTACTAAATGCTGGTGTCATATAATCTCACGTGGAATCATCAAGAAATACCGATTTGCACCACCTTACCGGTTGTCTGAAAAAACTGCATTTGTATTTGGACTGTTAGCCCACCACCCCTGACAGAGTTGGCCGCTCTCCATCCGGTTTACGGAACCACGGTAGTTGCGACCCTGTGGGTCCCGCTTATGAAAATAGCATTCCAAAGCGTTGGAACCTGAAGAGACCTGTATTAGCCTTAATATATCTGTATCAAACAAAACAAAAAATTGAAAATTACGATATGCATGATAAATATGAAATATAAATACATAAATATATTGAGGTGGAATATAGCTTACGACAGAATACTTTGGTCTCGTAGTCATCTAACCATTCCATTATAGGTCCTGATTTGAACAACAGTTCTTTTCCCTTGTGAATGACCACCTTTCGAATATAAAACACTTTAAAAAAGTTAAAAGAACGTAATTGTAGTAATGATTTTCTCTCTCCAAAAGTAATACTTTCAGCAGCTTAAACCCTGATTTCAATAAAATGTATTGAAATACCAAAGCAAGATGCCAGCCGTCTGTTCCTCCTATTCTGAATTGGACACATTCGATCTGTCCGACGTTCTCCAACCACAGAGTGTGACGATCTGTCGATCCAGTCCTGTGCCATTTTAATGTAGTTTTCATGAATTATTATCAAGAAATCTGCTGTAAACACTAAATTATAATATGTGAATTTAATTTAAGGAAAAAAATATATAACACATACTTCTTTATATCAACTTCTTTCTCTGAAGTTTTTCCCGTGGACCCGATTATGGTCAGATAGACCCAGTTGTCGGTGTAACTCTGAGATTCGTAGCTTGTCGATATGTCCACCGTATACTCTATGAGATCATCATCAACTGCGAAAAGTGAAGAGATTTTTAAAAAGTCCCAAGTTTTCACTCGCAGCGGAAACAGATGTTTGTGAGTTTTTATTCCTGGCGACTTTTTGGGAGATATAAAAACCGAAAACTAAGAACCCCGTATCTTTCCCAATATTCTATGTGGCGATTGGTGGGAAGTAACTAACTGAAACCTTAGGTTTAGTAAACTTCTAAAATAACGAACTGAAATCTTAGGTTTAGTAAACTTCCAGAAAAAATGGTTTAAAATACATACCGGATTGTGACTGTGGCGTCAAAGATGCCACCAGTAACATTAACTTCAATATTTCCATATTCACTGAGCGATGTGGCGATATTAAATTATTATTAGCTTTTTCCAAATTTAATTTTACATTTATAAAATTATGGGCTGCGTATTAACGAAGTCTACGACATTTAGCTATTGAATCACGATCTAAACAACATTTACAATTTAATTTCTGCACAAAGGACAAAATAGCAATCAGTCGTGTTAAGGTGGTATATAGCATAATATATTGATGGACAAGACTGACTTGATAAAAATGGATTCCTCATGACGTAAAGTTTTGAAGCCAAGAACTCTGTATCCCTCATCAGTCATCAGTTGGCATTTTTGGTCACTACTTTTGAAGAAGGGGATCCAAGTTAAAATTTAAACACACTGACTGAATTATTGCCCTTCGTGGCAAGGAGAACAGCAAATAAACATTTAACAACCTTTGCTAATTAATAACCCCCACACATAAACCTGAATTTAATCTCTAACCGAAACATCCCTAATCCCTAACACAAGGTTTTCCAGAGTACAATATCTAAAGACTTAAGTCAACCCAGAAAAACGAGAAGCCTGAATTTTCTTTTAAAGCCGTTGTATGATCTATTATGGAACCTCAAACGTGTTCCAATATCCTGTCACATGTGAAATTCAAGGATCATTTTGTGCCCGGGTTGATGAAACCATCTATATTACATACGTTAAATAAACCGGCACAGGAAGAACTGGACACTAGAACACCAGTGAAAGTTAAACCTGTCGTCTAAAATCGGAACACCCATTAACCATCGAACAATCCTATTCATTAAAGTCACTTCTTCCTGTTTGCACGGTGCGACCTACCACGGCAACTATTGTCAATGGTATTGTCAACTATTTTCAATAGCTGCCTTTGCTGGATTCTCTTTAAGTTACCGTTCAATTGACGTAGGTTGCATCGTGTAACCAGGAAATGGTACCCATAAGTCATTTGTTCAAAGCTCCATTAATAAGTCCTAAATATAGCCGGTTACCAAGCGGTTACCTAGCAACCGGTTACCAACTATAAGCAATCCATTAAATCACTCGTGTTTGAGTACAAAATATGGGGAATTGGAAATAAGAGGATAGATGGTGTAAGCGTAAGAGTTTAAAAGGATTACGTCCGCGCATCCAATTGAGTCCTGAGTCCTGATCCTTGCTATTTTATATTTCTCTACCATTGCATAACCATCGCTGCAAACTGATTACAATAATAAATCACTAGCCACTAGGTGAATACAGCACTAGGTGAATACACTAGTCACTACTCCGGGTCACTACTCGGGTCACTACACTAGTCACTACACTAGTCACTACACGGGCACTACACGTGTCACTACACGGGTCACTACACTAGTCACTACAACGGGTCAATACACTAGTCACTACACGGGTCACTACACTAGTCACTACACGGGTCACTACACTAGTCACTACACACGTCACTTACACGGGTCCCACTACACAAGTCACAACACGGGTCACTACAAGGGTCACTACACAAGTCACTACACTATTCACTACACCTATCACTACACGTCACAACACCGTGTTCACTACACTAGTCAATACACCGGTCAATTCAGAAAACGGGTCACTACACTAGTCACTACACGGGTCACTACACGTGTCACTACACTAGTCACTACACGGGTCACTACACGGGTCACTACACTAGTCACTACCTGTCACTACAAACGGGACACAGCACTAGTCTCTACTCTATCACTACACGGTCACAACACTAGTCACTACATGGGTCACTACACGGGTCACAACACTAGTCACTACACGGGTCACTACACTAGTCACTACACTAGTCACTACACGGGTAACTGCGAGGATCATATTATCAAGAGGGAAATGGGAACGCACCGGACCACACGTTACCAACAGTGACAAGTGACAACCGACACTGTTGTATAGATAAGCATTTTACCCTGGTTATGTTTTATTTATTTCACCCGTCCGGGCCGCGCGGCCTGCTAATTGATCTGTAAATTCATTTAAGTAATCAATAATGCAGTTGGTAGGCTGCAGTTATCAGTAAGAGCCATTGCTTATGATCTTAAAATATACACTAGACAAGGTGCTCTTGGGTAATGGGTGGCTCTGACTATCACGTGACACGTGCATCACGCATACAGCTAAGCTATCATTAGGTTCTATACCATGTCCGGATTGTGGAGCGCAATGCGTATTGTTAAAAGTTGATAATGCGAATGTTAATTTGCACCACCGTAAACAAATTTGAAGCAGTACGTCTAATAATTTTGATATATGCAAGGACTGTGCCTCCCGTCCTGATTTATTACCATTAACTACTTGGTGGTGTTGGACAGTGCTCTTCTTTCCTGATATTATTCATCGAAGAGAAATAAATTAAATCACAGAATTATAAAGCCTACAGTATTCTCTTTTTGTTTATTTTGTTCAGCTAAGAAAATACTGCTATTATGAAACGTTATAAAATAAAAATCCCCTAACCGACTCCTAAACCCCCAGGACTCGGACGTATGCGAGGACGTTGTCTCGATGTTCGTCGGTCTTACCGCCCTTGTAATAGGTCTGATTGAGGTCCTAAAGACGGCCGGTTTGAAGTTGGACGGGGTTATTGGTCACAGTCTTGGGGACACACTTTGTGGCATGGCCCTTGGTTAGTAGCTCTAAATTGTATTATCATATTCATAACCAAAGTTGAAAATAATATTTTACATACACTTTATACTTATAGGCTTATCACAATCCACAATCCACATTGATGACAAAAGATCTTGTGATTGACTGAATATTTTACTCATCAGCCTAGCACCCACTAACTAAGCCTAACCCCCAATTACTAAGCCTAGCAACCACTAACTAACTAGCCTAGCAACCACTAACTAAGCTTAGCAACCACTAACTAAGCCTAGCGACCACTAACTAAGCCTAGCAACCACTAACTAAGCATAGCAACCACTTACTAAGCCTAGCAACCACTAACTAAGCCTAGCACCCAGTAACTAAGCCTAGCAACCACTAACTAAGATTCCACCAGGACTCCACTCGGCAAGTGACATAATCAAGTCAGCGTACGCGCGGAGCATCCTGATTAAACAGCGTGCAGATCTGCGCGGCTCGATGTACGGTGTGGCGTGTCCTGCCAGCAACATCAAACCAGAGGAGGGAGTGAGCGTGGCGTGTTACAATTCTCCCAGTCATGTGACTCTAGCGGTGAACAGTGAGGCGGGACTCCGCTACTTAGACACTCTTCAAAAGCAAGGTTCGCTTGTTCTTAATCTATCCCTTTTTAGTGTAACTGTGAGTTAAATATTACTAGTTTGATGCTAACATATTGTTGTGAACTGTCAGTTCACAGTTGCTTAGCTGAAACCAATCGAAGCTGCATGAAATAACCTCAAGTTTAAATCAACTTGTTTTGCACTGCTTAAATACTTTACAATTACATTATCAATTTGTACAGCAGAGGACAATCACAAATTATAATTCCCCAGTTCAGCAAATAAAATACCCAACTCTAGGTTATGGAGCCAAACAGATCAGTTCAGGAGGGTTTGCATTCCACAGTCCCTCCTTCCGCTCGGTACTCAGTGAAGTAACCGGACTGATGGGATATATGGAATGTGTGGCACGACCTGACAACTGGATAAGCACCAGCTACTCAGCTGGGGAACAGCCCACCTCACTGGGTCCTTCCTTCTTTGCTGACAACTTGGTGAACCCTGTCTACTTTGAGGAGAATGTTAGGAGGATCCCTGAGGAGTCTATTGTCGTAGGTACTTATCAAGCTGCTCGCAATGTCTTGGAGTATCGTTAAATACTTACGCTATTCTAAATGGGAATAGACACGTGGGAAAATAATCTAATTTGTATATTCATTCTCAACGATTTTAGCTTACAGTTGATAATAAGTTAGCAAGTTCGATTAAGTTACTCGATTGACTCAGAGCCTTTTGGACTAGTTTAAAAAGTAAAAATACATGACCTAAGACTCAGAAGATAGAGATATCACCAGTAGTCATCAAATAAAGAGAGTAGAGACGCGCAACTTTATATAATGACTTGATACTCAGAGCTCATTGTTAACGTGCATAATTCATATCCTCCTTATCTTGAGCATGGCGCTGTCCATACTCTATAGCCTAGATGATAGTATCATGACAACTAGGTGTTAGTACCATGACAATTCTTCTTTTGAATTATTCATACTGACCGACTCAATGGAGAGCCATCGGCTCCCGTCATCGGCTCCTCTCAATCAATAATTAATGAACAAATCATTAGCTAAATGATTGAGGATGTGAACACATTTCAGAGCTGTCGGGGAACTCATCCCTTCTGGGACTACTCGATAGTGGTCATGAGAAGATAGGGCTAGTCCGATATAACACAGACTACCGCGCGTCACTACTAGCAGGTAACCCTGAGAGCTCGTGTTTTAATCAACACACAGGTAATTATTAGAGTTCATGTGCCCTTATAATAACCGTTATGTTGATTAATATGACACAATAATAACCCTTATGTTGATCAATATGACACAATAATTACCTTTATGTTGATTAATATGACAACTGGTAATGGAATAAGTTGCAATGAAGTTGATTACTGATAGACCAACTGGAATATTTTACATAATCTAGTTACGTCATGTTTTAGAATTATGAAATGGCCCACCCTCTTATAGTTACCCTTCTCTCCTCGCATCTTGTTAAGTGATACGATCAGATCTAGTTTTGTTACGGTGCCGTTTAATATAATCGTCCTAGAATAGTGCAGCCCGGGATTTAGGTTAATAAAGAAAACTCTAGCCAATCACCATAACAACACCGCCCACGTGACTCACATTCCCCTCATATTTTCGTCTTTGTAACCCACTTTGTATGATCAGGTGTAGGTGAGTTGTACGTGTTAGGAGCACTAAACACTCCTTACTCCCTCCTCCCTCCTCCTTCCTACCCCACCCCACGTGACACACCCTCCCTCTCCTCCACTGTTGCTACTGGCTGGAACCACCAACTCCAGTTAGTTTTTTAAATAGATGTTACAGTTTGTAGATATTGTCGTCTTAAGTTACAGCACATTGACGGTTTGTAGATATTATCGTCTTAAGTTAAAGCACATTGACGGTTTGTAGATATTATCGTCTTAAGTTACAGCACATTGACGGTTTGTAGATATTATCGTCTTAAGTTAAAGCACATTGACGGTTTGTAGATATTATCGTCTTAAGTGACTCACGTTGACGTTTGTGTTACAGATATTTATTCGTCTTAAGTTACAGCACATGACGGTTGTAGAATATCCGTCTTAAGTTAAAGCACATTGACGTTTATGTTAGATATTATAATCGTCATTAAAAGCACATTGACGGTTTGTAGACATTATCGTCCTAAAGCACATTGACAGTTTGTAGATATTATCGTCTTAAGTTACAGCACGTTGACGGTTTGTAGATACTAGCAGGAACCCGTATAATATAACCCTAAACGGTGTCAAGACTCAATACACTAAAATAATTATTACCTATTTAAAATTGGCGTTTTTGACACCACTTTGGTCCCAATTTTCGGCTCTAAATCTTTTCCTGGCCAATTTTATTATTTTTTCCATGCTGAATGGAGGCAATTAAAGCATTTACCCATCCAAAAAATTTCAGTTTTTTATATCTTTTCGGTTTTTGTTCGGAAAATCGCGTTAAAGTTGATGCCGAGTGTCAGTAAAATGGCACAGATATAATCGTCTGCGCTTTATATATAATAAGATTATCGTCTTAAATTACACCACGTTGACGGTTTGACTTTTGTACAAGTGGAAACAAAATTCTAAATATCGTGTCTAAGGAATATGTGATTCGTGCAATTTGTCTCCCATTTTGAGAAGTAAATATCGCAAAAGAATCAGCTCGATAATGAAAATTAGCTGATGAGGTACGGTACCAGATTTAATTTTTTAACGCACAGATTTCCAAACCAATACTTGTAACAAGCGACTGTTTTCTACGGTCGCAATGGCACTAAACGTTTCCAAGATGGCTGTCGAAACTGATTAATCCTCTTAAACACAAATCTAGAGATAAGGGCGTCAATTTTGGCCTCTTAGGTCTCTATTTTAATTGCGGGAAGTTAAATTATTATTAATAAACAAATATATATTAATAAACAAATGAGCTAGATGAGTGAACAATGGAACGAGTATTTGGTCCTCAGTGTTACTCTCTAACAACCAATCCTTGCGTGTACTAGCCACAATCCTCCCCGGGTAATCCTAGCACACTGTTATCAAGAACAATAGTATTTATCGTTTAATCGTCTAATTGTTCACCTATCAGGATGCTCGAGATAACAGGAAACATGTGTACTGTATTGTGTGGTAGGAGGAAGATGTTCAATAATTGATACCACATGTCCAACATTATTGTCTAATAATAAATCACTGCTAGACAAACATTTACAGCAGCTGGCAGAGAAAAAAAGTTCTACTATATACATCGGTAATGGGAAAAATACATACAGATCCTAAATCGAAAATCAAACAATTTGATGCTTTCTTGGCACTATAATGACCAATCTGATTATAAAAAGCCATTGGTTAAACTTTTTATCAACAAACTGGTCCGACCAAACTGGTCTTAACTTATCAAAACACGATGTTTTCGAGGAAGGGTTAGTCAAGACTCAAGAGTATCGGTGACTCTGATGATCCTGGCCCTAAACTTGAGTTATCTATTACAGCCTGTCTGCTGGATCGTGTAGTGTATTGAGTCTCTGGATTGATAGTATTTTCGTTCACATTTCTTAGATTGTATCTGAATAGCTCACTGAGTCTATTAAGAAACAATCAGAAATTTGAATGAAAGAACCTGGTCTGTGTCATGAGTGAGATAAAATATTGAGGAATGACACTGTTGTAAGTAGAGCTCGATATTTTGGGGCCAAATTGGACCGTGTGGAAATAGACCCTTTGAATAATGAACAAACCCAAGCTAGTGTGTGCTCAAGGTAATTATCAGATCTTCTAGTTCCCAAAGATTTTGGTGCAGACTCTTTGCCCCTCTCAACTCTATTATCTCATTAGATAGAATGGCGTAAGAGTCCGTAATCGTGAGCATCAGTTTACTTCATTACTTACATGTTTATTCAATAGCTCTAACAGAAGCTTCGTTGGAGATATCATATCTGGCCTCTGGGATTAGGAACCATGCCATCGCACTCTCTTAATATCCGTTATAGATGTTGAAACTGGGAAAAAAGCAGGCAGATCAAAGTTAAAGCCAAGTGCGTAAAGATGTTCGTCTTAGAACATCGAATAGCAAACAGTTTCATCAATACTGTCAATTTGAAAAATGTTAGTCAGTTGGATAATATAAGGGCTTGTTGAAGTGAGAGAGCAAAGTAGTAGCTGAGTAGCCCCTTATTATTTAACGCGTCTTTGTCTCTCTAAGTCTAATCCTTACCTTGGTGCACCCCCACATCCAGAAATATACCAGATCGCCAGATAATCTGGGAGAAAATTGTGAATTTCAGAGGAAATTTTTGGTGCCAAAGAGGAAATTGATAGAATCTATGATCTGAATTTTGAAGGCACATTATGATTATATGATTATTTGTGATAACTACGATAAATGGTGCCAGCTGGCCGTGTTTTACATGGGGGCTGTAGGAGAAAGCCACTTTTAAATAGTAATTTCTTACATTTTGTAGCACACTATTATGGACGGCTTCTAATGTGGCCATGCAAAAACGCAGAACGTTTTCGGGGCCAAGTTCAAATGCCCAAGAACTGTTTTGCTTCATTCGCTGTGCTAGCCGACATTGCGAAAGTCGGACATGCGCAAATTTTGCATCCGGGAGAAATTTTAAACTTTCTGGATGTGGGATGCACCTTGTAATTTGGTAATGGTGTAATTCAGCCCTTATCTGGTATTTTTCTACAATCTGTCCGACAATCTATCCTACAATTGTCCTACAATTGTCCTATAATTGTAATAGAACTTAATCAGTAATGCCTGATATTAAAGCTATCAGAAAACAATTCAGTCCATTAGGGATTCAAACTGGAAGTTGAAGAGTAGAGCTGTCGTGGTGAATGCATCTAAACTAGGTAAGTGTTTGAAGATGGTTATTGGTCATGTTGTGAACTAAGTGGTGTGACCCAGCGCTTTAATTATTAATTCCAGATTTTATTGATAAATCTCAACTTATCGAATAAAATCGGCCTTTATCCTTTACTATAATAATTTATAATATGGCAAAGAATAAAGGCCGATTTACACTATCATAAAGACTTGTTTGATGTTTGAATTATAGAGGCGGTATTGTCACAATATATGTCCCGGTGTTAATCAGTAATAAAGTTGTCACGACAGCAATTAAACCAGGTTTCCTGATTTTCCAATAGAGATAATTGTAATCACTAGAGTATTAGAGCCTTCTGCTTGGTCTGTCCCACGTGTCTCACTGAAGCTTTATTGTGTAGCTCTAGAAACCTATATACATAGCTGAGTTCTTCACGGCGGTTATCTCTCTTTCATTAGTCTAGATCTCTATAATTAGAAAACTATAGTGAACATGTGGATATAATAGGTGCTATCTTGTATCTATCCTATCCCTTGAGTCAGAGGATCAGTATTTACTGCTTGTTTGTATTTTATTCTCTGCCCACACCTTGAGTCATTATTCAAACTCTTCACTTACTGGAAGAACGCTTAAAAGCTAATTTTTTTTCATTTATAATTTACTCAGTCGGAATTTTGTTCGCTGTCATTTTCGAAGGTATAATGAAGAATCTCTCGTGATAATTCATATTGTAACCTGGCATTGTTACGCATCCAAATAACTGTGCTGTATCATTTCAACCATCTAAACATTTCAATCATCTGTCGTATTTGAGTTAATATAAGGTTTCATGTTACGAACAATTGGAGTACTAATAACACTTTTTGGGGACTTATCCACGTGTTTCTGTACCGTAATTCACTGGTGATCAGCACTCTATAGTCCGTACCTTAATGTAATAATAGTACATCCAATATCAGGGATCGGTCCTCGCCCAGGCCTTATGAGGCCTAAAATACGAGAATGACGGCGCAGTTCATCCTCACTCGTTTCCCCATAACCATGCTACCCGCCCCCCCCCCCCCCCCCCCCCCCCCCCCACTAACTAACCATGATCTGTTCACCACGCTCCACCGACTATCTAGAATCTTGCTATAGTCAAAAAGTCGACAATAGTATGATTTAAACACAATAGTATGATTTTAAAACAATAGTATGATTTAAACACCTATGGGTGGATTTAAAACCTTTATAAATCACAGATCTTGATTCAAACGTCATAGAATTCCTTTAAATTGAAGATTAGGTTGCACTTGGTTGCATGGTTAGTTGGGTTTTAGTCGTACCTCCATTCTATAATGCCATTATGATGATGTCAGGTGCTTTTCAGCATATTCTGCTTCAGCCTATTAGCCACTTCGTGGTGGTAAGGCTTCGTTTTGCTGTAGATTTTACGATCCTAAACTTGTTGGACTCGTGCTACGAAACAAGGGTATTTCTTTTTGTGAGCTAAATTATTACCTTATCTTTAAACATTTGAGTTACAGAGCTGTAGGAATCTCGTTGACTCGTGCATTTGCGGCCTCTTTATCATTTTGTATTATTGACATTCATTACGGACCTACCTGTAAGTACTAATAATAAGGCTGAACTTTGTCAGATGTTGCATGCCAATGACAACAGGAACGCCTCTATTACCCTGTATTACTAGCAACCAATACAACCAATTTAACCTGACTACTACCAATCTCCGATACCGGCCTGAATTCTGTCCATAGCTTACTGTTTCCTGACTGCACCATCCAGCAGCCTTCGCAGCAGCTAAACTCAGTAGTCCCTGGTAGCCCTCCATGAAGTACAAAGCAATAAAACTAAGGGAGATGCAGATGTTGAATGCAATGACTACGGGATTGCCCCCGTACTAAACCATCTAGTACTAGGTAAACTAAGGTAAAAAATAATATTAATCATAAAGCGCAAATGTACTAATCTTTGTATTCTAAATGGGGAAAAGAAGAAACATTGTCAGTCAGTCGAGAAAATTGTCAGTCAGGCTATATGGCAGCTTTGTAGATGTTTTGTGGACAATGCTAGTAGTGGTCCCAAGTAGGCTTGCGACTGGAAATGCGGAGTTAACTCGATTTAACGGTATACAACGATCCACCTCCACTTGTTTTTTGGTACTAGCATAATGTGTTAGCTGTAGCCATTTAAAAGCAAGAATCTTTAAAACAAAGGGATGACAAGGAAAGAAGGAAGGAAAAAGAATAACGGCTCAAACATTATTAAAGTATTTACAGGATCATTATTTTTACTGTAAATACTAGCAGAGTAGCAGGATAGTTTGTTATCATTATAGTTTGTCTAGTCATTATTCACTCCGTTGGGGCAGTGGTCTTAGTTCTCAATTAATTTGCATTTATGGACTTATTGTCGTAAGTGCTCATTTGTTTGACAGCCTGTTTTAAGTGTCTAGCTTATTAACATGTCATAGTGGTTATCTACAGACCTCAGACGTGCGGCGGGTACAGACGTTTTATAAATTAGTAAATGGGGTACTTGGGTAATTAGACGTCTTATATAGCCCGGCCACTTTGATGACGTTCACAACCAGGTGAACTCTGTGCGGAAGGTTTGGTTTTAGTTGTCTGCTGCTTTTGTTGTGGTAAATAGGTAAACTACTTGATTGTATTTTTGGTGGCCATTGGACGAATCCAGGACGAATCACGGACCATTTAGCTAAATATGTTCCCCTTGAATAATTCACATGTCACAACTTCATAATATTTGAAATTTTATTCGCATCATTTAACATAACTTGAACTATTTGTGCATTGTGTAGTGGGTTGTTACGTGCTCTCTTTTGCGCAGTTTAACAGTTGATTCAGCCGGGACGACATGTTTTAATGTTGACCGGCGACGACATTATAGTATAAAATTATGCTTTATCATTTATATGATTTGATATGATTACTCGGAGTTATTAGTTAAGACCTTTGCTCCTCTAAGCTGAAATATTAGTTCATTCTCTAAATGCAAAAAGCTTTATATCGTATCTAATCCAATATATATAATTATCATCAAAGGACTTGATGCGAAAAATATTCATTTAATTTTATCACAGCAGGTTGAACGTTTCTGTTAGGTAAACATTAGATATTACATTGGGGGGATTGAGGAGGTCGTGGGTTCAATTCCCGCTCTCGGCATATCTCACCCCGACTTTTCACGAAACATACTACCTTACTGCTTTGATTCAGTGATCAACTGCGTGATTAGGACCATACTTAACTACTTAAGCTACCGAGGGGGGGGGGGGCAAAGTCAGTACTCATACGTTGGGTCTTATACCACCTCCGTGTTTCATATTTGAGACCTGTAACTTTGCAGATGGTATACTGTCACTACTCATTCGAGGATTCCGTCACCAAAATTTGAAAATGTATGGGGGCCACACCCAATCAACATTGAATTGCTTATACTCGTGTCTGTGAACATGTCAAAAATTCCGTTGTAACATATTGCTATAAGTCATTGAATCCGGAATATAATGTGAAAATATGGTGCGAAACGGATTTAAAATGACGAAGTTATCAAGTAATTTGTTTATCTCTTTAGCTAAATCTATTGGGTAATCAATGATTATCCAATCACTAAAGTCATCATGTGATAGCGTGCTACGACACCGTAATTGGGCTCTCTGCACGATTTCCATAGTGCAGATCTAGTTTCAACCCAGTCACCTGATCACACGTAATGAACAAACTCGTTATGCTTCATATCTCGGTCATCTGAGAAGCTAGAACTCTCATTTTATTCAGGGTGAATGTAAATTGAATAGCCAAACTCCTCCACGTCGGTTTTCTTTCTCTGTTAAGTTTTCGTTTATCTCAGCCTCTGTAAGCCGTGATTAATTGAGATGAATTTAGGGTAATATTGTGTAATATGTAGATAGTGTAATGATTATAATAAGGCGGTCGTGGGGTCCAGTATGTGACGGTAATATTTTGGGCATATATTAGTATACGACAGTTATTGCACTTAAGTGCAGAGAGGTCAGTTTAACATATGTTTGGGTCAGTACGAGGTTGAATTATGGAGTGTTTACAGAATACTAGTGTTACTATGTTGCGGCTATCGACAGGATAGTTAGGGATTGTTTAGCCGGGGCGAGCACTGGAGTAAGAGGTTTAACATAAGTTTAGGTCAACACGAGGTGTGTTTGAGTTTGTACGAGGTTGAGTTATGGAGTGTTTAGAGAAGGCTAAGGTTACAAGGGCGTGACTATCGACGGAATAGTGGAGAGAGGGTTAGCTTTTGAGGAGAGTGGAGTGCCAGTTTACCCGATCGAGAGGGGGGTCATTTTGATACCGGGCAGGTTCTGTAGCTAGAACCTGTTAAGGTTAGGTCGTTCAGTTAGGTAGATGGTCATAGTGGTCAGTATAATATTGGCGGTCGTAAAATAGTGGAGCATTACGTAGTTACTATTATCAGGCTTGGTTGTGGCCGGGGTCAACAATGGTTGGTCCGACACCAAGGGATGTCTTAACAACACTGGGCTCTGGCAGAGCGAGAATCAACAATGGTTGTTTCAGGGCATCTAGATTAAGGTGAGAGGAAGAACCAACAGTGGTTGATTCTGGGCATCTAGATTAAGGTAAGAGCGAGAATCAACAATGGTTGTTTCAGGGCATCTGGATTAAGGTAAGAGGAAGAACCAACAGTGGTTGATTCTGGGCATCTAGATTAAGGTAAGAGCGAGAATCAACAATGGTTGTTTCAGGGCATCTGGATTAAGGTAAGAGGAAGAACCAACAGTGGTTGATTCTGGGCATCTAGATTAAGGTAAGAGCGAGAATCAACAATGGTTGATTCAGGGCATCTAGATTAAGGTAAGAGGAAGAACCAACAGTGGTTGATTCTGGGCATCTAGATTAAGGTAAGAGCGAGAATCAACAATGGTTGTTTCAGGGCATCTAGATTAAGGTAAGAGGAAGAACCAACAGTGGTTGATTCTGGGCATCTAGATTAGAGTAAGAGGAAGAACCAACAGTGGTTGATTCTGGGAATCTAGAATAGAGTAAGAGGAAGAACCAACAGTGGTTGATTCGGGGCATCTAGATTAGAGTAAGAGGAAGAACCAACAGTGGTTGATTCTGGGCATCTAGATTAAGGTAAGAGGAAGAAGCAACAATGGTTGTCTCAGGGCATCTAGATCAGGCACGGCCAAGGCGAGTTGACCGTGCTATCTGTGTTTTATATTGCAGCGCCAGATCGCTGGGCGTTTATGGGCGATACGAGTCGGGTTAATTAGGATTTGAAGTAGAGGTTGTCGGATTATTCATTATGTTGTTTCATAGTTTAATATTGTGTACCCTTTGTTATCACGCTCGTTTCCATTGTCCAAACCCTTAATTAAATGCAAATAAACTTCGAACCGGGAAGCAAGTGACGACTGCTTACACCTCTTTCTCACTGAGACTAAGTTTTAGTGGTGGTTGTGTTTGTTTGTTTAAAGTGACGGACGTGACTCCAAATTAACCGCTAATTGTACTAGTAAGTAGGGTAATGACATATTTGATATTGTTTTTGTATAAAATGTTAGTCAGTAGCTATGGTGACAAAATTTAATTAAAGTTGTGATGTTTTTACTGCATCGTTTGTCGTGATCATTCATCTTGAATTAATATTATTTTCCGCTTTTGTCTTCAAAGGTAGTTTGTCAAGGCTTTGATAATTTTTAGTTGGTAACTTACCGATTCGATTTGTTTAATATTGCAATCCAATACTCATTTGAATTCAATATTTAACGCTTAATATTAATAAGAAAACTCATTCATTTTATTCTTGATCCACCCAGCTGAAAAGAATTAACAATGTCGTCGGTTGAACCAATACAGCCAATTAACCAGACCTACTACGAGATCTCCGATACCGGCCTGAGATTCTCCCTAGCAGCTTACTGTTTCCTGACTGCAGCCTTCGCAGCAGCTGGAAACTCAGTAGTCCTAGTAGCCTCCATGAAGTACAAAGCTATAAAACTAGACCGAGTGTCCACCATCTTGATCAGGAACATAGCTATCGCTGATCTAGCGTACTCGCTGTTGGTGATGTTACAAGTTGGGTTGTCTCTATCAGTGAACTCCTGGCCGTACGGTGACGGACACGATGCTCTCTGTCACCTCTCAACCTATCTTCAACACGCTCTAGCCTTCACTGATATCAACCTCATCTGTGCTCTGAACATTGCCAAGCTGACCTGCATCATGTTCCCGCTCTACGCCAGACTCAGATCATTCAGGAAGGGAGCTGTAATAAGTGGTATTGTCTGGCTGATTGCCAACTTGTACCCACTACAAGCCCTGAAGAGAGGGGTGTACTTCGATTACAGGTCCTACAGATGTGCCTACGTTCACACACCTGATTACTGGGTATGGTTAGATCCGGTCAACATATCCCTCTTCCTGCTCCTCCCCACCTGCATCGTCTTCATCACCACCCTCTGGTTATTGTTCTACGTGAGGAGGATAACAGGGGCTCACAAGCAGGCTGTGTTCACCATGCTGCCTGTTTCTGTGGTGTTCTGTCTGTCTTATGCTCCTATTGGAGGGTACTTTGTAGCAGAGAAGTGGATTATAGAGAACGCTGGCCAGGAACTTTATAAGGACCGGCTTTATACGAGTCTGTACAGATACGGCATGTTGATCAAGTTCATCAACAACAGTGCCAATCCAATCATTTACTTCTTTACTGTTCAGAGTTTTAGGACTTTTGTAATGCAGAAAATATTCAGAGTTAAATCGGCTGATTTGAGCAGAACGATGACTCGAATGACTCGAGTGGATAACAGTACAAGATTCTCAAGACAATTAACCAATATAAATATCTCATTACCTGCTACACAGAGGCTTTCACGGCAGGTCACCAGTGTAAATAATCTGGGGATTGTTACAAAACCTATCGTAACCACGGTAACTGAGGGAAACTAACGACGATAGGCTAACAATGACTACCACGGTAACTGAGTTGGAAACAGGCGATTATTAGCCGCAATATTATAAATGACCCTGAAAATTTTGAAATTAGTAGTTCCCCACCGAGTTCAGGATCGAAGATATCACGGCAGCTCTATTTGGGTTATCGTCTGCAAATGTGCTATGTTCTATCGTAGATTGAACTATTTTGTCTTATGTTAATTATCAATTATTGTTATAAGTCAATAACTTAAAGTTTGGCTTAACTTAGATTGGAAGTGGCTGATTTCCTTATGCTAGAATCTGCTAATAACTAATTTAACGGTAATTAAGACTCGCATTATTTTTTCAACGTGAGAAAAATGTATAGTGTTTACAAAATATGTATCTTCTATTTTATGGAAATTAAATGCAGATTTGTTTCTAATAAAACATAATTAATATTTAATAGTAAAACTAAAACGGATTTTAAAAAAATGTTAATGCAGATTACATTTATGAATCTGCGTCAAACGCCACTGCTGCAGCAAGTTAAGACCTTGACAGAGTCACTCAGTGAGTCAGTGGTCTATTAGAAACAATATGTCGCTTCATGAAGAGTGAAGACAGATTTGAGTCTCTAAGTCTAAGCCATGCTGTCAATAAATATGCTTGCCATTTACATGTGAAGTCTACCAGTATTCAACCTCCAAAGGCAATCTTACGCCTGTCCATCAACTTCGGGATCTCCGAGTAACTATCAGTTCTGACCAAGGTCATATGGAAATCGTGGCACTTGCGGAATCGCGATTTTTCCCATTCTCCGCGACAAATCGCGATTTTTGACGTTTGCGGCGACAAATCGCGATTTTCTCAGGTCCTCGCGACAAATCGCAATTTTCAGTTCTCCGCGACAAATTGCGCATTTTTCTTAAAATCTGAGGACCAAATTTGCACATTATCCTTTAAATCCGAGGGCCAAATATCACTTGCTTTATAAGTATACGGATTATGGAACCAATCACATCCACTGCCTTCCGAATGTAGGTACGGACCTCAGAAGACCGGAAAAATATATTTTCGGCTCATATTCATAATGATCAGGGTAGCATGAAATATGAACAAAAGTAGTTTCCAGAAAACTCGTTTTGCAAAGCAGTCTACGTAATTGTAATAAGCGCCATGAATTGGCACAGAATTTGTTGTCTCCGATTTTGATAAATTTGATACCACAAGTTGCCTCTAAGTATCTAAGTATCAATAATGAAAATTCACTGTGCAGCACTATAAGGTCGAGCTGATGTGGGCCTCCTGTGCATTGCGAGTGTGTAAGAAGGACGAAAAATGGGTAATTTCTTGCTTAAATACATATTACTCCTAAAGTATTGAATATTTTAAAATACTTTTTACAGGATCGTAATCAGCTTGATCAGACGGAACTTTTGGTACCAAGATGATAATATTTGAAGAACCAAATATTCCAAAACATTTCTCAAAAAATTGTGAAAAAAATGTTCCTTTAAATCTTGAGATATTAGTACCAAAAGTTTAGTCTCGCTGAGCTGATCACGACTCCATAACCGTGGAAGTTATAGGCCAAAAACTAAACATTTGCGTGAAAAAAGCACGCGCGGCGAACAAGCAGATTTGTTTGCCTGATACCACCCTCCATCGGACCCATTAACCGTTCCATTGCAGATGGTGGGTTCCTACTCTGGATGAGTTCCTGATAAGCAGTAACGATGCTAAACTTAACAAATTTGTTTCCACTTACGAGTTTGGCGACACTTCAAACTCTTTGATAGGTAAAATTGGCGTCAGAAGCTATGGTAAGTTCTTTTCATTCAGCGAATATTTTGCGAATACCGTAGAAAAAACTTAAAAGTTATTGATTAAAGTTCATTATTCCGTGCCCTTGCAGGAAAGTTTGTGAATAGTTACTCGATATTGGGTCGCAACATAATCCCCTTCTCCGTGGGCGTGTACGTGGCGTGGCAGTCATTTGCACGTGCTAATGACGTCTCTCAAGATAACCTCTGCGTTCAGCTCACCAACGTCTGCATGCATCAACAGGTTTCTATTTTCATTTGTATAGAGAACTATTTATATTTTTAATAATCACTGACATCACAACAGTCAACCATTTCGTGTTTACCACCGTACTTTCCTCAGATCGACCTATCGCTCTTCCCAAGTCCAATAAAACTCTGCGTTGGAGTTCTGCCAAAAACTGGACAATTCCACATCACGACCAGCAACGTGTTGTTCATGTCGGGCAGCATCGAGACTCACGACCCTCTACAAGAATGTGGCCAGGAGTTTGATCCGGAGTCCGGAAGTCTGGCAGACGGAAGGAAAGTTCTGGAGTTTTACCAACTGTTATCACAATCAAATGGAGTCATTAAGAGGTGTGATTTAGAGAACCTGACGTGTGAGGTAGCTACTGAGAAGTGTGATAATGGGTCCAGTTCTGTTGATGGTAACCTCATGCTTCTTGATTCCCATTTCCAACTGATCCAGGTACAATACAATGCACTTTTCTCCTTATGACCTTTCTCTGCTTATTTTGTCATAAATTGTAGCATGTTTTTCTTAGAAATACTAGTGGCATACCAAACCTCAAATACACGATAAAAAGCCCCCATAAAGCTACAACTGTTAACATCCTCCTCTCCTTCCAGTTAGAGAGAATGCAGACGTCTCCCTTCTCTACCCTCACTGGAGCCAGCTCCATTATCCTAGACGGCAGGGGTTTCTGTGAAACCAACTCCATCAGTAAACCTTACCCAGGCTCCTGTCGCTCTGACGCTGTCTGGGTTGATGGCACTTGGTTTGATGTGCTGGAACCTGCTCTCCAGGGAGTAGGAGTAAGCAAGGATAATGGTGAGAGTTGTGAACCAGATGAAGAGGTTATGTCTGAGATGGTAGAAAGGAAGAAAGTGCCCGTCCTGCTGAAAAGCTTGCTTTCAAAGGTTTGTCCAGCTTTTTGTTATATGAAAAGTTGTGGTGGCAACTGTGATACAGCAACTTTAATCATGAATATTAAATCATGTCCGATATGTTCCTCCTTTAAAAATCCCCCTATTTCCGTTCGTTGCCCTTGTATGAAAGGGCCCTTGCTATCAAATCACAGCAGTTCACTGTAGGTTCCACTCTAAAGTCTAAACTGGACTTCTAGTAGCTAGATTCGTACCTTCGCTCGGTTCTTGTAAAGTTGTAACACTTCCTTTCTGTTGTAATTATTGTTCCCCTAGTCAACTAGTTGCTCTTTATTCAGCATGCAGGTCTCAACATCTTCTGTTGCCATCATCACTGACTTTCCCAAACTAGATGATCTAAACAGGGTGCTGCACTATGTTCTACCGTGTGTCAGTGGTCTAACCATGGCCATCAGTATTGTAAACATTGTTGTCATGCTCAACGTAGGGGTTCTGAGGTCGCCCTCCACTGTCATCTACTTTACCTTGATTCTTATGGACATTCTTAACGCACTCACTGGCTTCCTCATCACAGCTGATCCTGAATCAAAGCACTGGAAAGGAGTAGAATCAAACATATACCTCTTCACGTTTGATGCAACAATAGTTCTCATATTCGGTCTGGGAGTAGTTAGATTAGTTTGCATAAAGATGTCAGCTCTCAGAGTACTGGCTAATCTCCTGAAGCTGGCCTACTCCGCTGCTCTAGCATCGGTGCTATTCGGAGTGTTTGCAGTGTACTACTCACATCTTCTCCATCGTCTGGGGTACAGCAAATCCTTCGTGAACTACGCTTGGTTAGACCCTCAGAGTTAATGAATCGTCTTCTGGCCACGTGGTTCATGTCACTCTATACCTGGTTCGTAGTGCGAGGCAGCAGGTCCCTGATCCACTCCCCCGTATTCAAGAGAGCCAGTACCACTTCCCTCTGCATCACTCTCAACTTCATCGCCTCCTACACCTACTACACCTTCCTGAACAGTGCTAGGATGTACTACACCCTCCACCACCAGGACTGTCCTCCCAGATCCTGGATGATGGTGCTGGTGTGCCGGGATTCTCTCTACATCGGCGTCACTGCCATGTGTGTTCACAGCTTGAACAACAACATCATCCTGATGAGTCAGTGCCATGTGAGGGAGTTCATCTGGAGTCACCTGGTCTACTTCTCACGTGATCTGAAAAGGAAGTGCAGTTGTAACCAGAGAAATGAGAGTTATCGCTTCTTTGAGGACTACGCTTAATTGTTTAAACTTTTCAGTCACTATCCAATTATTCCTTGATTAGTAAATATTGAGTTTCCGATTTATGTAAATTTTGTTTGTGATATACCTTCTAAAAGATTTTCGACTCGCGCGCGCGCTATTTGAAATTCGTCCACATGAAAATTTGTATTTATTTGATATAACGAACTTATCTACTAAATTACCTGGCGAAAGTTGAGGCTCATAAAACTGCTTCTATTCAGCTTACAAATCTTTGTGAATCTAAAATAATCTAAGTGACCTAAAACTCTAAAACTCTAAAACTCTAAAGCATTATCGACTATCATTTATCATGGAACTCTCTCCCCAGGAGCGGACTCGATGCTTTACAGTAACCTATTGGGCAGCTCAGTGTGGCTACACAGCAAGCACCTCACTGTAACCCGCATATACCCTGCTCTGGATGGTGCACTGCACGTGTGCTACGCTACCTGCTGTTTGGGTGACACAGACCGTTGCCATGAAGACGTACACGCGCGGCACTTGGCCGTGGGAATTCTGTCCAAGTCGGAAGTTTTGGATTCTACCAACGTGGATCTCTCACAGCAGTTTTTTACTGTGGCCAGGTTTATAATTGTTACAATACAGTGTACCCGTCATATGTTCGGATAAGGCAATGTGTGAGTTATATATTGATTTTACTTTCAATTATTTGAAGGATAGAGCCAGAGGTGGGGGTTGAGGCAGAATTCATTCTGATTAAAGCTGCTTTAACCTCAGCACTAACACTATCAACAATTTTTGAATACCATAATCCCTTACTACTCGAGTTTGCGTTTGGTACCCAAAAACATGATGCCGAGGTAAAATAGGAACGTGTACAACCACTGAATCGTATGATTTGTACACTTTTATATTGGTATATGCTTTGCATATTTCCTATGACAACCCTTCTTCAGTTGTGATACCATAGCTACTGAGATCATTATTACTTAATTTTGATTCAACCTAATTCTAAGAAATACACTAATTATTGAACTTGATTCTAATTTCGAATAAACATTTAATCAGACTTACTCACAAACGTCCATAAAAATCAAATGGACCATTTAAAACTTTTAAAATAAAATGAAAAACATTTCAATAACCAATTTCAGTTATCAGTACAAAATGTGTATCTCATAATGTGTATGTGGAGAAAGGAGCTCAGCGAATTTTGATGGGTTGTTGTACGATAGTCGTGTTACTATACTCCAGAGTATCTTAACTTTATATTCTGTATCTAGATCATCACCTTTAGTACGCGAAATGCACGTATCTATGAACTTTTGATTTGAAAAGTGTTCATGAAGCATCATGGAATCCGTTAGCATGTTCTTGATGCAATCAATGGTACCCTTCAGTACATCTAAATCACTGCTGGTTTCGAAGATATCTACCAATACCTCCGGTATGTTCACACCAACATTCACCAGACTGACAATACGCTCCTTTACAACAACTGACACTGACATCTTAGTTAACATTATAATCAGGCTGTCCGCAATACTCTCTCCTCGCTCATTTCCAATCCACCTTTTTAACAGCGTAGGTACACATTTCAGGACTCCCTGTTCACCAAGCTGAATAATATTCGCATCATCGTATGTTAGAAATTGCAGAGTAGTAGATATGTTATCCATGACTTCCCCATCAGAGCAGTTCTCACATGAGTTGATCAAGTGTTCTGATATCCCACTCTTAACCACAGAACTCGCTGCATCATCTCCTGCATACATTACTATTTCTTTGAGTACGTAGGTCAAATTCCTGCAGTACTCCACCTCACTCTGTGTTTCATAGGCATGAATAAACTTTTCACTGGATCCAGTAGAAACGAGGTGTACGAGAAATTGTTTCTCAAAGTCTAATTCAGTGTAAGGTATTGCTCCTATGGTAGCAGCTAACCTAGAGACTCCATCTTTGGTGTATATTACATCAAGGTCTGGCACCAAAAGTTTAAATGCTTCAGTGTCCCCAATACCGTCTAGACATTTGTGTAATAGAAGTACAGCTCCTACATTACTGTCATCGGATTCAGATAACTCTTTTAGTAACTGAATGTGAGGACTTAGCAAATCGTTGGTTTTGCGAGCGTTTTTAGTTTCTAATCCAAGGAGGACTTCAGTAATACTGCTGCTGGTTATAGTGTTCGACTTAAGGCGATTGAAGATGGAGTTGAAAAATGCTGGGTTCAAGAACTCTGCTTGGAGTGCATTGGTATCTCGTACTATGATTTTTATTAAATCAAAAGCGTCATCGATGAGCCTGTCGCTGGTGTTTGTTTCAACTATCTTTTGCAAAATATTAGGAATATTTTCTAGTGAGTCTTCAATATCTTCTCGACCTGTGGTCATGAAATACACTGCATTAAGTAAAATGGTTATCACAGATTCATCATTGCACCACTTTTTAAATAGGCTGCATATGTCAGAAAAACATCGATCTTAACGAGTATTTCCTGACTGATTTTGCTATTCATTGCGATACTCTTAATAATATCAATGATATAACAGATGATTTCACTATCAGTACAATTTTCGCATGCTTTTATGAAATGCTTTACGACTCCAGTCTCGACCAGTGAACATTTTGCTTCTTCATCGCCACAATAAGCTACTTTTTCTGTCACGCAAAACAGGTTTCCCCGATAGTCTTTCTCGGAATGGTTATCGTAAGATTCAATAATCTTACCAATGAAACCAGTTGAGACGATCTTGCTTACGACTTCTTTCTCAAATTCTTCTTCCGTATATGGAATTGCTTTAATGCAGCTAGCTAGTCTGGAAATTCCCTCATCTGTAAACATCTTGTCAAGCTCTGGTACCAAATATTGAATGTTTTCAGTAACTACATTGCAGCCCAGGTGTTTGTTTAACAGTATTACAGCAGCTACATTTATATTAACCTCACCATCATCTGCCTTAGCCAGCTCCTTCAGTGTATCATATGTGAGGACTTAACATTTCATTTGTAGTGTTAGGATTTTTATGTGCCAATGCAAGTATGGCACCATTGAGCAGCTCAATTTTAGTTCCATTTTCTAAATTTCCTGACTTCAGCTGACTGAAAGCATTTGAAAAAAACTGAGGATTTATAAACTTCTGATGAAGTAAATTCAGTGTCGGGACAAGTTTTATATCACACCAAAGGTTTCGTTGATGACGCATCACTGGTGCTTTGTTTCTATTATCTCTTGAAGGATGTTAGGTAGTCTCTTGCTCTGAAGTATTGTTAGGCGACCTTCGATCCTTCACATCACGAAAAGTTAACCAAAACATATGCTCTAGGTAAGACGTCATAACAGATTCATCTTTACGCCACTTTCGAAGGAGAAGCAGAACTATTTTGTAAACATTCCATCTCTACAAGTTGTGTAGGACTGTCTTTCGTTGTTTGGCTGCTATGTTCTTCAAGACATCAAAGATGTTGCTGGTAATACCACTGTCAGTACAATCTTCACAAACTTTTATCAGATACTCTACAACACCACTCTCAATAAGAGAGCAATTTATATCTTTGTCATTCAAATCTGCAAGTCTTTCCGCCACATGGGTCATGTTCTTACGGAACTTTACATCAGGATGACTATCATAGGTCTCAACAAACTTATCTACAAATTCATTGCAACCCAAGTATTTAGTTAACAATATTACAGCAGCTGCATTTATGCTTATCTCACCAACATCTGCCTCAGCCAGCTCCTTCAGAGATTCAATGTGAGGACTTAACATATCTTTTGTAGTGTTAGGATTCTTATTTGCCAATGCAAGTATGGCACCATTGAGTAACTCACCTTTAGTTCCATTTCCTAGATGTTCTGACTTCAGCTGACTGAAAGTGATTGCAAAAAACTGAGGATTTATAAACTTCTGATGAAGTAATTCAGTGTCAGACAAGTTTTTGATCACACCAAAGGTTTCGTTGATGACGCTATCACTGGTGCTTGTTTCTATTATCTCTTGAAGGATGTTAGGTATGTCACCATGCACTGAAGTGTTTGTTAGTGACTCTTCGATATCCTTCACATCACGAGAAGATATACAAAACAATGCTCTAAGTAAAGACGTCATCACGGATTCATCTTTACGCCACTTTCGAAGAAGCAGAACTATTTTTGAAAGCATTCCCATCTCTACAAGTTGTGTAGGACTGTCTTCTTTGTTTGCTGCTATGTTCTTCAAGACATCAAAGATGTTGCTGGTAATACCACTGTCAGTACAATCTTCACAAACTTTTATCAGATACTCTACAACACCACTCTCCATAAGAGAGCAAGTTATATCTTTGTCATTCAAATCTGCAAGTCTTTCCGCCACATGGGTCATGTTCTTACGGAACTTTACATCAGTATGACTATCATAGGTCTCAACAAACTTATCTACAAAGTCACTCGTCAATCGTTTGTCTATCATCTGTCCCACAACCTCCACCGAATAAAACTCCGTCAGCTGATCCAGGCTGCCTGCTAACTTAGAGATCCCATCCTCTGTGAAGATCTTATCAGGAGGAGGTATTAATCGTTCCTGCATTTCCGTATCACCCATGATCCCAAGGCATTTGTTTAGGATTAAAGATGCTCTTACAATGACTTTGCAGCTATTTTCAAGTCCAAGTAAACCCTCAAATAGCTGGTAATTTCTCTTGACCTCACCGAGGAGCCCATTACATGAATCTTGTAGGTCATTATCCTTGCTTGGTTCCATCTCAAGGAAACATATCTGTATAAACGCAGCAAGGAGGATCGCAACGATGTCATCATTAGTTTTCCAGGTAGTCAGCAGGTCAAACAGTTTGCCGTACAGACCATCTGAAGCAAGGCAAGGCAAAAGAGCAAAATTTTGTGCCGATGAAACATGTCTTAAAACTGTTACAATATTCGTCATCAGATCAGCATCATCTGAATCTTCACACTCACTCAAGATAAGTTTCGTTATCCCACGATCTACTAGCTCTTTAAAACTTCCCTCCTTGCTGTGATCACCGTATTTAGAGATCCCTTTCAGCAGCAGGGTTGCATCTCGTCTGAATTGTATGTCCTCATTCGTGCTGTACAAATCAACAAACACACTGAGGAACTCTGTGCTAAGAATCCGCTTTGTGACATATGGAAAATTAAATTTATAATACTCATCTTCAGGAACGGCACGTATCTTAACAGCAAGTTCGGATATTTCCTCCACCGAGCAGAGTTTACCTTTTATTGGAAACTTAATGTTTTGTCCGGTTTTGTCCATTTTTATGTCTAGCCCTAGGGGTTCGTTCGTCCTTTCTCTTCAGTTGATGAACTCTGTTCTCCTGAAAATGTTGCGAATGTTGATAAAGACGGATTGTAAAATTTATTTATACTATTAGTACAGACAGATCCATCTGAAAAAATCGATTTACTGACACAAGAAGCTTTCTAAGGATTTTTGACGTTTTTGAGTTTCATTCGATGCCCTTAACTTTTCCAAACTTCCCGAAACGACAAATTCGCAAAGTGTATCCGAAAAGAATTTTCCTCCACGTTTCATGCAATTTGATCACTTTTGACGAATTTTTTTCTCAGTCTCAAAAAATATTTGGAAGTGAAAAATTGTCTAAAAACTACTTTTCTTCGTGTTTAAAGCGATTCCAATCATTTTGACTTTTGGTAATTAGGTAATTAGTAATTATCCAATTATTTGATTGTCTGACGTGAAAGTTGTCATTACAAACGTTTTTCTCGTTGATAAGATAAACACCCTCGATTAATCTGCAACCTTCTACGATGTTCACAACTAAAGATATTCGACAAACAAGAAAGGTGGGAAAAAGTGGCAAATGTGACCTTACGACACGTGGAAAAGTTTGGAAAAGTTGGTCTGCCGTTAACTTTAAGGGCATCGAATGGAACTCAAAAATCCTTAGAAAGCCTCTTGTGTCGGAAATCGATTTTTTCAGACGGATCTGTCTGTACTATATCAGTATATTACTTATATATTATGTATATTACTAATATACTTTATATTACTGTATATATTACTATATATTACTAATATAATACAAATATTGCGCATATCAATTTTTGGAACCTCTACCAGTGGTTAGAGATGATACTTACTGTAACTAGTAATGGCCGACCGCACGATTCTGGTTAAGTCAGGTGATGCTAGTCCGGGACATTTTATAACTGTAAAATAGACAAATGTGTATATCTTTTTCAATATAATTGACCGATTGAAAATTAACATTGTTGCAAAACAATCAAGAAAAAAACAATTCAAGGAAACAAAAATTGTATTTGATATCAATTAAAGCAAACAAAAATGTATTTTATATATAACTAGAACGACCTTTCGGCCAGATATCATAGGTGACTTGGAGTAGCAAGAGAGTGGCTATAAGAAGGTATGTATATATCCTCAAACTTCGGCCAGATATCATAGGTGACTTGGAGTAGCAAGAGAGTGGCTATAAGAAGGTATGTATATATCCTCAAACTTCAATGAACGTGTCCAGCTACTTGAAAATTTCCTCGCCAGAAGTTTTTCAAAATATGATCCACAAAGATTAGAGAGAGATTAGAAATAATATCATATTTCACAAAATTGTGTAACACACTGTAATGAGCACTATAACACTCTCTACAAACCGACAGTTTAGGTCCTACACACATTCATGTCCTACACACATTCAGGTCCTACACAGTACACACATTCATGTCCTACACACATTCAGGTCCTACACAGTACACAGTGAACACACATTCATGTCCTACACACATTCAGGTCCTACACAGTACACACATTCATGTCCTACACACATTCAGGTCCTACACAGTACACACATTCAGGTCATACACACATTCAGGTCCTACACTCATTCAGGTCCTACACACATTCAGGTCCTACACACATTTACCTCACCATTTACGTGTAATGTGTACATATTTTCTTGCTGTTGATCCGCTTACGGAAAAAGAAGCAAAGCTACACAATATTGACACAAGGCCACTATGTTTTCTTTTACATTCGGCGCACACAGCTTAGGATAGGAACAAAATACAAACTCTGTTCAGACCCAACCCCACCCTACACATGTGGTTATTGTCCAGAAATTATAAAGCTCTTCAAATACCACCCCACCCCTCCCCCCAACAAACTAACAAATATAAAGCAAACGAAGCACAATGAACTTAATAACACAATGAAACTTAATAACATGTGTTTTAACATAGCATGACCACATAAAGGCACGGGTTACACTAGTGACCACATAAAGCCAAAATCAAAAGTACCAAACGCTGACTAATGAGTACCGAGTATAAATGCCTTAGAATGTAAAACAACAACATAGAGATTACGTTATAGAGAGATTAGGAGTAATATCATATTTCACGGTAGTGTCCAAGGGAGACGGTCTCAACTGTTCTCGACTGTCAAGGTTTCAAACCATGGCACTCGATAATGATTTTCTGGCCCGGAGTCAGCTGATCGTAGAGACCATAGGAGAACATGAAATATAGACGGGACATATATACAAGATTGAAATGTATATTGTATATACAAAATATTAGAGAACAAACAATCAGGGATCAAGCAAAAGTTACACTAACGTCTAACAGGGCCACATATTATACTCAACAGAATGTTATTATTATTATATGGGTATTCTACATCCTGGAGGTAGGGGTCATCTCTCCCTTGGTGCAGAAATTAGATTTCCGTCTTTACACTTCAAGTCAACGATAAACAAGCGATAAACAAGCGATAAACAAGCGATAAACAAACGATAAACAATCGATAAACAAGCGATAAACAAACGATAAACAAGCGATAAACAAGCGATAAACAAGCGATAAACAAGCGATAAACAAACGATAAACAAGCGATAAACAAGCGATAAACAAACGATAAACAAGCGATAAATAAGCGATAAATAAGCGATAAATAAGCGATAAACAAATAAAACGATAAACAAACGATAAACAAGCGATAAACAAGCGATAAATAAGCGATAAATAAGCGATAAACAAATAAAACGATAAATCAACGAATGATGTTGTTGTGTTGTTTCAGTGAGGAGTACGGCTTCTCTCCCGAAGTGTGGGCCTCGCTAGCTGTGTCCCTGTGTCTACACAAAGTAATGGAGCTCAATAAACCAACAAGCGTGGTGATTATTGGAGACGGGCAAATTCTCTCCTCCGCATGCAGACACATTCTCGGAAAAAGGTTCTTGTTTTGATTATTATTGTAAGGGAATTATATTCTCTTTGCTCTTCTAAATTACTTTTAGTACGACAGAAAATATCTCAATACTTTAATTCTCATTTTTCAGTTATATATATGTTATCATAATGATTGACATCATGATCAATTCATTACTCTCAATAGTATCATAACAAATTATAGAACAAAGATGTGAGTCACCTGATGACCTGATCCCAATTCCTCTTTAGCATTCTTTTATCAGGTTCCAGGGGATTCATCAGAGTTTCACAAACGTGAACCAGACTCCACCTGGCCACGCTCTCGATCAGATACACTCTGGTGACTGTGTTGTAAACTTGTCAACAGATAGAAATCTGCTGGACGTACTGGCAGCCACAAACCGTTGCGGCAGTGCTATCAACTTTATCAGACACCACTTTCAGGGTATCTCTGGCATGTCGTCCCTGCTAAAGAACTTGTCAGGTTTGTCATGTTGACTGTGGAGCTGGTTTTCAATAGTCACCATACATTGCACGTCTTTATAACAGGAAGATTGAGAAATTAACATTTCAATAAAATATTTACAAGTTAGGATATATTATGTAAATTATGTGAATTATGTCATTAACCGTTACTTTCCAACAGTAGTCAACTTTCAAGCTGCTTTCGTCAAACTCTCATCATATTGGACGCTTATAAAACCAGAGTTACAAAACGCCGCTAAAGATTTTACCTGTAATACTGTTTTAGATCCGTCTGCTGTTTCTTTTACCTCTCCTTGCAGCTTCCCAGGTTCGAAACATTTCTGGATACGAATTCTGAGAATTTATGATCGGCTTATTTTACAGTTAAAACTGATTACGGAGGGGGAGGGGTTTAAAACTTGGCCAAACAGTATCAGATTACATGTGAACGCCCTATTATAGAATAAACACTAGAACAAAATATTCTAGCATAATAATCGGTATACACTATACATATTATAAATGATGATAATGATTACTTTTGCAGGTGGAAAAACTATTGAGGTGACGGTTCACACAAAATGCCCCCTCATTGAGAGGCTTATTTGTGATTTTTTCCAACACCGGACAAGATTTCGTGTTGTATTCTGCAAACCAGTCTGTAAACACGACAATGGAGACGCTAAGCTATCGAATAACATAATTCTATTCGTAAGAATCGATGACATGGTTTGGAATTGCGAGACAACCGCCGCGGTACCAGTCAAGACATCATATTCAAAGATTTTCTCACCACTAACTGTACGCTCGTGGCTCTTTGGATCTATTTTGGGATCCGAAATGGAAAATGATAATCGTGTTTTTGTGCTAGGACTAATATCAAGTGGTAATCAGTAATTGATCTTTGAAACCTACTGTTACTGATTACTATGCTATACTATATATACTATGGCACCCGTATTTAATTGCCGATAAGAGCTAAAACTTTACAGGGAATGGGGATGTAACCTTAAGTTTAAAGCCTAAGATAGATTATGATTAAATCAGACTTCTCAATTTACTTTTAGTTTTATGTGCTTCTGTAATCTGTAAGTGTATGTTTGATGTTGTATTTGGCAAATATAATACCAAGATAAGTGAACATTTTTTATCTAAAGTCGTAAGGAGGGCTAAAGTAACTATGAGGATAAGGGTTCACTTTTTTGGTAACTTCATCATTCATGTTTAAATAATTTTTTGGCACGTTTGTTTTTAAATGTGACGTTTTGGATTGTTTGATGGTGAGTGAAAGCAGTTTTTAATGGCCTTTGGTCAACTCCCCGATCAATTATTAAATGATTTCTTCACGAAGACATATTGAAATTGTAGCGCGATCCACTACTGGGCCGCGCCGCGCATCAAATAATTCGTCTTGCAAGATCGAGTAGATCGGCGAGATGCAGTTGCACCACTGCAGGGCCTCGCCGAGCTGTGAAGGATTGACATCGTGAATCAAGAAGACATTAGAAATCTTTTGTAACAAATACACTTTCCCTGTAGGACAAAAGTTCAAGATGACTGTTGATATGAAACTCTTATCTCCAATGTCCAATCTCTTCTTCTCGCCATTTTTGCTCAATTCTATGATCTGCAGAGAAAGTTATATAATTTGTATCGCTAAACTTAAAGTCGTAAGGATTATGTATAAGTGGTATAATAAGCGCCATGAGTTGGCACAGAATTTTTTCTCTCCGATTTTTATAAATTTGGTACCAAAAGTTGTTTAAAAATTTACCTAGCTGTGATAAAGTAGTATTTTCTTGTCATACGCGTTGTATGACCGGCCGCCGCGCACGAGTGCGTGGCTCCCCCTATATCGTTGAAACTCTATAGTGAAACGACGTTGGGGGTCACAACGTGATACAAGTCTTTTCCTTAAAATTTGGTTCGAGGAGACGAGAGGTGAAATACTTTAAGTTTAATTTGGGTACGTGATATCGAATTTGCAAGTACAAAGTACGATTTCAATATTTCTCAAATCTCACTCCAATATCTAGAATCCCCTAAACAATAAGCTTAACTGCTCCATATCACCTAGCCATGAGTCTACGCGTACTGCGCGCGACCTGCTTGTTTCGGCGGTCGCACGCTACTGCAAGCGAAAGGGCTTTGGTTAGAGCAAAGCAACTTTTACTACAAAAAGTTCTGTGCCAACTCATGGCGCTTATTACTGATTACATAACACATAGCTAGACCGAGAAGGCATAATAATGAATAAGGGCAAGCGCAAGGCTACTGTGTCCTGTGAGTGTAACTGTATAGTAATTGGACAATTACAATCAATCCGCTTTCTTCTCGAAATGGCCCGAGGCAAGTGCTTCGTAGTAGCGCGCGCCGGGCTAGTCCATTAACAATGGACAACACATAACAAGCGTAAATTGATCAACCGTTACCATTCGCTCCTACTAGTACTAAATCGCTCGCCCAAATTTTAAGAAAATTCTTGTGAAAAGGCCCTTTAGGCATGAAAGTGATCTAGATCGGTGTATTTTTGGACGCTGATTCCGAATCACCCCCATGACGTAGGGTTAAAATGCTTCCCTGGAGAGTTGTGGGCAAAAAACCGTTTTGGTCACGTGACAGGCTAGTAAAACGTGAATTCGATTATTTAGGGCTCGGGTTAGGGTTGTCATACGTTGTATGACCCGCCGCGCACGCGCGGCTCCCCCTGTATCGTCAGAAACGACCGTGGGGGTCGCAACGTGATACAAGGTTAGGGTTAGGGTTGTGGTTAAGATTATGGATAGCTTCGGGGTTATGGTTAGGGTTGGGATTAGGGTTTATGTAAAACCGTTTTGTACGGCTGCAAAACCAAAAAAACCAAAGTCACATGAAATTTTTGGGCGAGCGATTTAGTAAGAGCCGTTACCATTACCGTCACCGTCAAAGCTTTACTTGCACGGGTTACTGTTAAGTAATTATTGGACTCCAGCAAACGCCAAACCTGTCTCCACTTTTTCCGCTAAAAACATCATCATAACAGGTTACGATAACCTGTATTTAGTTACACTTTAGTTACACTAATTTGCCCAGAAGCCTTTTGCAGTTTAGTAGGCATAGTAGGCACAAAGCAATTTTTTCTTCATGAAGCGGCATGTACAGTTTGCTTGGGAATTATTTTACGATTCAGAGCTTCTGCATTTCTAGCAATCCAGTTCCGGCCATAGACATGTATAAAAATATTTGATTCACGATGTCAATCCTTCGCAGCTCGCGGCAAGGCCTTCACCTAACCATGTGCTTTCGCGCCACTGCGGGCGCGCGCTACTGCAAGGGCTCTGGATAGAGCAAGCAAGTCCCATTGGTGCATATCGCCGATCTACCGAACAATATGTTGCTAGAATATGCACGGCGCGGACCAGTAGTGCATTTGTCATACGTTGTATGACCCGCCGCGCACGAGTGCGCGGCTCCCCCTGTATCGTAGAAACTCTACAGTGAAGCGACAGTGGGGGTCACCACGTGATACAATATAAATAGTGCATCGCGCACTAACGTGTAGCTAACCTAGCCAGCAATTCCAAAGTTATTTAAGTAGTCATCTATGGTTCTATAACATTTGTTTTGTTCATAATTGTTAATGGACTAGCCCGGCGCGCGCTACTTAGCTTTGTAGCAGTAGCACTTGCCTCGGGCCATTTCGAGAAGAAAGCGGCGCAGTACGCGCTACTTCGAAGAAATTTAGATGAGTAACATCCGTCATGCGTCAATATTTGCTCTATCCAGAGCCCTTACGCTTGTTAATTGACGATGTCATTGTAGCGCGATGTACTACTGGGCCGCGCCGCGCATCTTCTCGCAACCACGTATGCAGATCGGCGAGATGCGAAGAATTGACATCGTGAATCAAATTAACGGGTGATACTCGTAAAATATTTGTTTCATATATTGGACCGTCGATGAGTCCAACTCGGCGCGCGTCCTGGTAGGTTGTAAACTTACAAGAATCAAACGATGTCAATTCATCGCAACTCGGTGAGGCCCAGTAGCGTATTTCGCCGATCTAGCGAGGTGGTTGCGAGAAGCATAGTTGAGTGCGCGGCGCAGTAACGCATCGCGCTACAATTGCGCTTGCAGTGGCGCTTCACATATCCATGTGCCTACGCGTACTGCGTGACGCGCTTGTTTCACAAGTAGGATTTGCCGCCTACGGCGGTCGCGCGCTACTGCAAGCGAGAGGGCTCTGGTTAGAGCAACAGTGGCGCGAATGCACATGGTTAGGTGAAGGTCTACATTAATTCAAAATTGTGATATTCAGTTGGGTTGATGCTTTTTAAAATACATTATACATTTGTCATACGTTCGACATTTGTCTGCATCTTCTACTTCTAGTTCTCGATCGCGCGATTTTTGGTTCACATTTTGCCTTTTTTTAAAAATATCTGCAATCTGGTTGTAGGTTTATAACCTACCACATACCAGGACGTGCGACTCGTTGAAACAAATATTTTACGAGTATCACCCGTTAACAATCTAGGGCACATTGCAGCGCTTTAAACATTGTAGGTTTACAACCTACCAGGACGCGCGCCGAGTTGGACTCGTCGACGGTCCAATATATGGAACAGATATTTTACGAGTATCACCCGTTAATTTAAACAGCGAATTTTTAATCTTTCGGTTGTTTTCAAAATATATCCCTGACATGAGGGACCTCTGGTGTCTGGGAGAGCTAGGCCGGTCTTGTGGTCAACTGAACGTCTAACTCTAAGTTGGGTTCTCATTATAGTCTTAATCTTACTAATTCGCCCAAAAATTGTCCTGTGTCTTGGGTTTTTACGGATTTGCACCGATCCAGATTACTTTCAGTTTCATATACCCTCAGGGTCTTTTCACAAGAATTTGGGCGAGCGATTTAGTGGGAGCGTCTGCAGTCTGAGTTGGGCTGTTTTTTCAAGTGTCATTTTAGTGGCACGTCTTCCTGACCGTTCAGTTGTGGCTACTCTCTACAGATTCTTTTTGTTCATATCGCTTCACAATCCGGTAGATAGTAGTCTTACTCTTAGCCATACCTTGTGCTATAACATTTTTGGGCAATGGGCTTCTCCACAAAGGATCATATCTGCAAACTAAATTTGAATATACCACAACGATGTAAAGTTTGGACCATTGCGGTTCATGGAGCGACCGCAAATCATTTAGAGAATGGAATTTCTCTCCGGCTAAAGTGTTCCTTTGGGTTGCCCATTATAAAGTGTCTCTTACTAAATATGACACATAAATAGTGACAAATACTGTCGCAATGAACTCTTTATAGCGACCACATGTTAATTAAAATATACAGATTTAACACCTTAAATCTGGTCGAAGGAATTTCATTTTAAATTTCTTGTTCCGGCATAAAGCGGACTAGGGCCAGAGGGGGCCAGGGGGGGGGGGGGGGGATACAATCAAGTAAAAACTATTTAGATGAAAACAAAATAAAAATCATCAGCTACCATAACAATAATAAACACAAGATATCTTTCTCTCCTAACTCACTAGTAGAAATTTAATTACACACTATTAGAGGCAGCACAATGAAAAGTTTTTACTTAATTTAAAGGGTAGCCACTTGTTTAATTTGAGGGGTCTGGAAATGTCACTACCAAAATATCACGGATAAGCAGGTATGCTTACAGTCAGATAAGGGATGTAGCAGCCAAGTTATTTAAAGTTATCATGTAGTAGCGGCTGAAGAATTCTAATGCGGGGGAGGGGGGGGGGGGGGGGGGCATCCTAAATTTTACAAACATAGGTTTAAAATATTGGAGTCAAATAATCATAGCCCCTTTCAGCATGAATGAAATTGGTTTGTATGTTTGCATATTCCATTGAGATATTAATTTACATTTTCTAGGCCATCAGAATCTACAAACATGACCCCATATTCCTGTTCCCTCCCCTAAAGCAGATATAATCCAAATATGACGGTAGCAAAATCTAATGCCAAAATAAATATAAAATGACGCTATCATGATAAGGAATCTGTTCTCTCTAAAAATGAATATCGATCTAATACATACAGGAATTTGACACCGTTGGTAACCATGGTTCTCATAGCTGTTAGAAGCTATGAGTAAGTTAGAAGCTAAGCCAAAAGATAAATAAAATTCAAGTTTTTCACTGAAAATAGTGAAAATAAAAATGTGTTTCATCAACAGCAAATTCTAATAACTTTATTATTTAACGATAACATCAACTTTTGAAAAGTGCTTGTGTATGATACATAAAAGACAGTGATCAGAAAACTCTTGGTTGTTCAAACTTCTGGTGCCAAGAAAATTTTATTGGGTATTAGATATTTCACTTAGAGACATAACTATCCCGACAATATAATATGCACTGCTCTGATCACTATCTCTCTCAAGTGTTGTCACTTTCAACCACACCGCGGAGACCAACACACCATTCAGTCGATGTAGAAAACTATAATTCTCTCTCTCCACAGATGGAAGATACAAAAGTCTATAACATGGTCAACATATCTGGAACATTTTCCGATCCTCTTCCAGCATCCCCACACCATCCTCAGTAGACGAACATCGTCAGGATATTACAAAAGGTTAAAATACATCATGTGTAGTGGGGACTGGAGCCTGGAGAGCTGTTTCCAGGAATTGAGCACACTAACTCAGTTGATTTACACTGATTCGGACATTGAACTAGCAGAAAAGTCTGCGGGAAGGAGGACTATTGAAGCTGGTTCCGTAAAATGTTCTGATTCTGAAAGACCTTCATCAGGTTGGCGTAGTGGGCAGATCCCATTCCTGGGATGAGCCCAGCTGGAAGCTGGTGCTGACTGCTGGGCAGCCCTGAACCGTTTGTAAGTCTGTGGGGAGCGGCGGCTGATTGGAGAGGTGAGAAGGAGGGTTTCACTCCTGACCCTAACTGAGACAGATGGGCGGGGATGTGTGAGGGCAGAGTACGGGTCGGGGGTGCATGAGGGGGACCCCCATTGGAACCCATAAATATTATCTCGTCATCTTCTCCCTTCAGCTTACACTCGTGTTTCTTAACTGTGTGACGTCTCTGAAAACAAATTTTGTTAAATTTCTGTCAAATTGTCCAATATCATCAAACAATGTGACCAGCTTGAATAACACAAATTCCTAATATAATCAAGGTACATGTAGAGGAATTAAATTAATTAAAGAATAAATCTTACAGCCATAATAGGGAAGAGCTGGTGGAAGGGGAAGGGCGTGTCTCTCTTTCTCTTGTCATGTTGGTGAATGTGTGGTAACTGAGGTCGCTGTTGGTGAAGGGCTTGTTGGGCTTGTTGCTGTGCGGCTTGTTGCTGGGCAGCTTGTTGTTGGGCTGCCTGTTGTTGTTGCTGCTGTTGTTGAGCTTGTTGTTGCTGGGCTTGTTGTTGCTGGGCGGCTTGTTGTTGTTGGGCGGCTTGTTGCTGCTGTTGTTGTTGTTGTTGCTGTTGGTGATGGTGTTGCAGAGCGCTAGCCATCTGGCCGGGCAGGTCATATCCTCTGGGTGGAGCACCGTGAGGTTGCTGGTTGTGTTGTGCCGCTGCTGCAGCGTTATGCTGCTGGGCTGCTGCAAGGGCTTGCTGTTCGATAAAACGAGCCCATTGGGACGCTTGTTGGGGGTTGTCGGGAGTCTGGGGCATGAGGTGAGCAGCCGCTGCAGCCTGCTGCTGTCTGGCTAGTGCGTCACTCCTTGCTGCTTCCATCAACTGGTCTTGCAGGTACTTCTGCTGAAAGTAATGGAAAATCAGCACAATAGTTGTGAAGATCCGCATTTATTTACAGTAATCCTGACAGACAAGACTATACTATATTACAAGAACTTTTAAAAAGAATGTACCCTTACATCGGGAACAGTTCTGGCATTCTTCAGTAGTTCTTGAATCCTTTCAGCGCTGAAGTGCTGTTGCTGTTGTTGCTGGTGCATGTGCTGCTGTGCTGCCACAGCTTGCTGGTGCTGGGCTTGTTGTCTGGACAGTGCTTCCAGGTGCTCCATTAACTGTTCGTGTTGGAGTTGAGGGTGGAGCCCTTGTAGCATCTTCTGTAATGGTAATTCGGTTAAAATTGTGCAAACTTGTTGGTATGTTTAACTTTCAGACGGAGACTAATTCTTAAAACACCAAAAAAAGCCCATAAAGATTACCAGGTCTTAAAATAGAAATGTCCAGAAAAAGACTAACATTATCTAGAACAGATGGTGGTCTAATTCCAGGGAAGTTAGGAAGAAGACTGGGAGGGGCCATAGAGGGAGGTCTCAGAGCGTGGGGCATGTTGTACAGTCCCTCAGCTTGCATCTGCTGCGACAATAAAATGGGTTATGCTACTAATCATCGATTTGATTCGAGATTGAGCGCAATGCGCGGGAGTGGTTACTAGCGTCAGCCATTTTTACAACGATTTATCGACGTATGGGACACAGCTTTAGGTAATTAAAACGACTAGGATTTGACTTAAATCAACGAGTTTTGCATCTGTTTAACGTGATATTTATGTCAAATTAAAATAATTCGATCGACTGTACCTTGCTTCTTGCGGCAGCTTCTTGCTGCTTGAAGAGTTCCAATATCTTAGCTTGAGCGTAGGATCCTGGTTCTATTTTCGGCATCGGGTCAGGTTTGATTGAAGCTGATGTCGGTATTTGAGGGCCGCTAAATATGCCATTAGCACCGAGTACACCAGCAGAAGCGGCTGCAGCTGCTGCTGCATTGGGGATGAGGCTGGAACCTGGCAAGATTCCAGCTGCTCCAGCAGCGATCAGGGTGAGAAGCCAGGGTGTCCTCCTTGGCCGTATATCTGGGGTTGTGGTTCCTGTTTTATTGGGGTCCTCTCAGCTTTAGCTACGGGCGTATCTTTCTTAACTTCCTCTCTCCCTACATAGACCATATCACTTCTACTGCACTTATCCCACCCTCTACAGGATGGTCTGGTGAAGGAAATCTGTCCTTGTCCGAATTTAACTGTCAGGAATTTATTGGGTTCTTCCTTTGCCTCTTCGTCCACCAACTCTTCATCTTCTTCTTCTGCTTGTTCTTCTTCTACATCGACTGGTATCGTCTCCTCATCGTCATCTATCAATAGGTCGCCTGAACGATTTGCGGTCATGATACACATCAATACGTCAAGCAAGAATTCGCGAGATGTTTAAGTCGTGCTACATAATATTTCCAGAAGACAATTCACAATAAAGTTTAATCGGGTCAGTCGTGTTAAACGCGTGTTAAAATTTGATAAGCGACCAACGTGCATGATACAATGATATCGAGCTTTTAAAACGCAAATTTCTGTTCTAGCAACAACTGTTTAAACTGAAATAATAACAAGCCAAGTATGCTAGATATCAATCGATTTTAAGACAAATGTGGACAGAGCTCAAAGCGGAAATAAAACAAGGTCCGGTGAACAAAATTTCAAAATTACCTGACTGATCTTTTTCCTCGTCTTCTGGAACGTTTTCTGTCTGATCCGGCTCTTTGTCTTGGTCGGTAGTGTTATTATTGTCAAGATTGTTTTCAACAGACTTGTTAGTTTCGCTCTCACTTCCACCGTTCTTCATGGACCCAGGCAGACTGGACTCGGAGAGACTGGACTCTGAGAGTGGAGGCATCTCCCCAAACCTCTTAAAGTGGAGCCGGCAGGGCGTACAGAGGACCATCTTGTTGCTGCCGCCGTACCTCCACCTCTCACAGCTCTTTGTTTTACAGTGCTCACACGTTAAATCGTCCCTACCCACCAGTTCCCCATCTTCAGCGTTACTTTCCTCAGACTCTGATCCGGGACTGTCTGATCCGCTGCTTCCCTCGCCCGGGTCTGAACTCTGGTTATCATTAGAAAGTTTGGGTCGTTTGGAGAAGGGAAGGCCATTATTCCGGCACCCTTTCTTCTTAGCGTATCTGATGTTAAGAGCTGCTGGTGTCATCTTCCACAGGTAGTAGTACTCAACTATCTCCTTTGTGTTCTTCTTTGGGAGGTATTCCCGTCTGATCTTGTCGAAATGTTTACCAAATTGTTTGATTCCTTGCTCGAACAACCTCTTTTCCTCTTCAGCCCACTTCACTATTGATCTGAAACAAGGAGACAATTATTAGAGGGCTTCCTAAGAAGACTGAATCTTCGTCTGCTTCATATTATCAACAACATAATATCAACCACACCCCAACAAACTGGACACAGGCACGTGCTGCATTTTATCAGAAATAATGGCAGAATAATATGTGAATAAACTGAATAATATGAGCTAATACTCACGATTTGTGGGGTGGTAGAGCCACCATGCCAGCCAGTGCTTCGTTAGAATCGTATTTACTCTCGTGGAGAAGGCGCAGGGCGTCAAAAGCGGCGGCGTCATTAAATGACATGACTATACCCTTCTCCATGGTACCGCCGTTACATATACCGGCCAGTGCTGTCACACTTCTGTAGAAAATACTTGTTAGTGAGGTGCAGAATGTTACGTCACCTTTAGGAATGGCTTGGCAGGAAACAGGGCTCAAATTGATTTGCACTGATAACAGTGAGATAAGACCGCGGTTGGAAGGGTAGGTTCAGTAACCTCTCAGTATTAGAAACAACTGATATAATAGGGTATTTTTATTTTTTGTATCAGTCAGTATATTATCCTTGGATGAACTTTAGATAACCGGCAATTAACTGAAGATAAATTTAGAGATGAGTGACAGTTATAATAGGGCGATAAAAGATATGCGAGCTGTTCGAGCTGACTAAAGAAACATTATATTACCTGGCTACTCTGATGTATTGCTTTAAATCTTTGTCACTTAGTCGGCCCGGTATCCAGCACTGAGAATTAGCGGGATTAAGAAACTAATTAGCAGAAGATGGAACAAGTTAAACAACTCAATAAACTGCAGACTGGTGAAAACGTGTGTCGAATGGTAGTCAGTCAGTTTGTTAGTGAATCAGTCAATAGTCACTTACCAAAGTCACAAGATGTCTGAACTGCTAACTAGAGAACTTGGAAACATACCCCGTAAAAACACTCGTCAGATACAGGAACAATCTTTAGCAACAGCCACGGGTAAATTATTCTAAATACAAAGAGAAAATGGTTACCATTGTATTACGGGAACACGTCAAAGTTCCAAATATTCCTCATCAAAAGAAGTGAAAATTAAGGGGAGCAGTAGCAAACAATGGGGGAAGCAAGGTATAGTAGTACAAATCTTCAACATATAATGTGTCACTGACAACTCATGGGATTTTAAGGGTTCACACTTTGCCCCGCACGGATGGGGTGCTGTGTGAAACACAGCAGCGCGGTCACACGGAACCGACACCAGGTCAATTATTCTACTTCTTTTAACTTAGAGTTGGGAAATTGTTTGGGATATGTAAAGGAGGGTGTTTAGGTGTTCTGCCACAAGATACGGCAGTGAACTCGGCATTATGCATGAAGTTGGGAGGCGTAACGTTATCTTACATCCGGACTTTAAATTATGTTAAAAACCAGAAATTGAATCACGCAACTAAGACATTCTTTGTAAGAAGTTCTCAGTTCACAGCTAATCTAATAACGAACCAGAAAATCAAATTGGCGGATAACTGATATGATTATCGTTTAAAACCGTCCCTTTTGGGCCTGTGTGAGAAATATTTTTCTGTCAAGGGTACTTGAACTCGAAAGTTATCCTAGAAAAGGCATAAAACAGAGATTAAAAGTGAAGACTGACAGCCACCTTTCATTAAGTAACGATAACGGTTTTAAAAGCCACTGCGCACTGATAACCAATACTCGAACATGACAACCAACGTACGATCCAGCGAAGACGCACACATCATGTCTAACCAACTCGTTATGCAGCAATCAAAAGAAAGATTAAAACTGCTCCTCTATATGTCGCACATAATATATTATTGATATGGAACAGAGTGATGTTTTACACCAGTGCTATGGTGGGAAGATCTGGTGAAACCTCGCTTACTTGCGACCAGAGCGCTGCTCACCCTGAACTGCAGATTGCGTGTTTTTATTTCCATTGTTGTGTCGCGCGGCTCGGCCACGACACGGTGGTCTCTCTCACTCTCACCGCCATGCTCCTCATCACGGCTGTTAGCTGGTGGTCGGTAAATAGCGGGGGAATGGCGAGCAAGCAGCAGGTAGTAATGCTTACCACAAGTGCGGAGTGTGACACGGTCAATAATGCGACTGTGATTCAGTGATATCGTGCATATTTTCTGTCACCAGAAGGAGCGGGGAATGGTTTTAACAGCTTGTTAAAGAGCGATCTGCGGAACGGTAGTTATTCGTTGGCAAGGATCGCGCTGTACTAAACAGTGGCAAGCATTCTTTTAATTGGATCGTTGGAAAGAAAGTGGCTGTTTCTCAAGAAGGCGGCGTGTGTAGAGATTATTAACACAGGCTTATCAGAAGTGGCGAGAATGTAGCGAAATTAGCGGTACGCGGTCACATGGCAATTATTGGAAACTCCTCGTACGTGATCCATACAAAAGTTGCAGCAACGACAAGAAACGTCATAATATATAAAATAACCGATTTCGCAATGTCAGTTGCTAAAGATAGGCATATATGCGGCGGGCACTAAATTATACAAAATAAAACGAATAAGGTCCAGCAATAGAGTACCGATGCTGGATATAGACAGACAATGAACTATTCAGGTGGATCTGGACTGAAGAATGAACCAAAGCTGCCAAGAAAATAGGTTGTCAGGAGATTAGATCACGACTCCTTGCAGGTGGTGAATATTATAGACGAAGGGCACTTTAATGACCACAGGGGTGATACAGCGATTAAAGCGAATTAGCCAAGTACCTCAACATTAAGCATTATCTGCAGAGACCATTAGAACTTTTTCTATGTGTGTAACTTTAATTACGTTGCTGTGGACTGTGCCCGAACAAAAGTTTACTAATAACGATTACAATTTCCACAAAGAAAGTGCGCACCTGTAAATATGCCCAAAGAAAGGGTTGCAGATTTACATGAATCAGGTAACTCAGGCTTTACAACAACACCACAATAATAATAACACAACCGTTGTACAACACAGTTGTAGTGAAGGGACCGGCGGTACAGATACTTTAGCACCAGCCTCACGGAACGGCGGGGATTATGAGCTAGGTGAGACTCTACCACCGACTAAACCATCGCTTAATAGGGCAGTCTCTCTCTCTCGCTCTCTCTCTCTCTCTCTCTCTCTCTCTCTCTCTCTCTCTCTCTCTCTCTCTCTCTCTCTCACGTTAACGACCAATTGTAATAGAAAACTAGCTTGTAGCAGCTAGATATTAAAGCTAGATATAAAATATCTCATTAGTTTTGGTGGGCTAATTATGACGACCACCTGCTGGCTGTGAGACTAATCCTGAAAACGTGTGAACTTGGAAATTCAGTGTTCCGGTCTCAGATAGATACAAAAGAATGAACGCTCAGTTAAAACTCGCCTCTTTGTGTATACACGTTATATACGTGGCACGAGAAACTTAAACCAAAAGCCTGTAGTAAAGTAGATATGCTACTAAGTATTTACAGTTAGAGCTGAATATTAATAAGATTACCTTATACTAAATTTAATAATCTAAGATCAATATCACATTCGCTGGACCGTGTCAATATAAGAACGATTACAGCATGCGAGGACACTCATTTGACAAGGTAATAATAAATATTGGACAGTTCAATTAGGGGGTAAGGGGGGGGGGGGGGGGGGGGGGGGGGGTGCCGGGTGCCGTACCCATGATTTTATACTATTTGGTTAATTTCAAGGTTATGAAGTCACGGTAGGTCAATGGTCATTGGTCATGAATAAAGTGTAAACAAGAGACAAGAGACACGTATATTTTAGAATGGCCATTTATTTGTCAACTTTTACAAACTATAAACAATGTAAAGAGCCATTAACGATGATTTACCACGATTGTAAAACCCAGCCGAATGATCCTGCACGTAATTAATGACACGTCTATTTCCAACGAAAGGTTTGTCACAGAAGAGGAAATAGCAACTGCGTCAAAAATCCTAACCAAACATTTTGCTTTTAATCCCCTGACAGATATTGATCAACTGATGGATTATCCCTCTCACATTTGGCAAATTTATTAGAACCCTTAAAGGCTTAAAGGTGGAGATTGCGAAATCAGTAATTTCAAGAAGACTGCTGTGACTAGTGACCACTGCAGCTGTGGTTGCGAGACAATGCTTCGTTTTAGCGAGGGCAGCTACAGTCTGAAATGAATTGCCTGAGCGAGAAGTAGGCCGATACCAATAAAACGATGTTGTAAAATTTAGTCCCTTATAATGAGAAATCATTTCTCAGAAATGTCATGACGGAACTTGCTCGCATGAGTCTATCATGAAACGGAGGGGAATTTAAATTGTCTTTCGACTGAGTGGAGTTGGGTTAAAAACATATAAGAGATACGATGATTTAACTTTCGACTTTCAGGGATATTTTCTCATTAAAAAATAAGATCAAATGAGATCAGGGGAGACATCAATCCGTGTTTTCGATTAACTCGCGTCTGCTAGCTTATACGGGTTAACATAGCCAATGATCATATAATACTTGTCAGGAAAGGTGTGCCTAGAAGCAAATCCATACAACATGACCTGTTAGTAGTGAGCTGACAGGATGCATTTCTCAACAGCTGTTTACGAAACCTCACCGAAAAAAAAAGCAGATATAAACTAGTTAAACTACTGATAACACCAAAGAAATGGGTGATAACAGGTAAATAGTACAGTTAATTATTAAACAAAAATACTGCAGTAAGCGTGTTTAGCTAGGTTTTCTCCACCCAGACAACATTTAATGATAGCTTCATACAACTCTTGTTGCCATGGATACCCCACTAATATAAAGTGCCACTGCTCCTTCGTCTAAACTGATTTGGGGTTTTACTTTTACATTTAGAGAAGAAGAAACCCTTAGTTTAACTGTTAACAGTGATCTCTAGGTTTTCTTTAATTAGATTGTAGATTCTTGGGAGGGAATTGTTTCAAAAGGATACTCCGCTACTCTGATACCCCCATACTCTAGTTCCAGCTACTAAAAATAACTTGAGTCATAGTTACCACTGTGTCTACTGTCTACCCCACAGGTTGGCTCAGTCAGACGAAGTCAGAGTCTCAACTCTATTAAAATAAGTTTATAAATTCATTTAGAAACCTCTAATTAAGTCAAACACAGCCGGTATAACCAAGCTAATCGCTCTAACCACTTCCAATTACACTAATTACACCTCTGTTAATTACACCTCACACCTGCCCCCCTGCACTACCACCCGGAACTTGGCCCAACATTACAGCCCTTTATATAGTTGTATTGCTCTCCATTATATGGCGGCGACTACAATAACAGACAAATAACAGACCCAGCCCCACAATGTCATGAGGAAGACTCACCTCAACATAGTCTTGGTAGAACAATATTATAACTATACATTAGCGGTAGTGAAAAGGGTCCCGGTCCCACAAATGCGGCCTACTAGCAAATATACTACTTCAAGTTCAATAGCCTGGGTCTAACCTGTTCAAGTTCTGACGGGTAATTTAAAAATCGAGCCGTTTTGTCAGCGTTAAACTATTTGCCGACAAATACTGTGCCGTTTGGATGGAATAACTTGGGCTTTCGTATTTTAGTAACTCTGTATTTAATTTGAGGGAATAACATGGCCATTACTTGATTGCGGACCTTGGAGTTAACCAACATTTTCCTGGCATGTTGCTTGTCAGGGAGTGAGTGGACTCAATTGGACCTTGACACTGAAGTTATTCAGTGCGACATATGTTTAGAGGACCACTACTAGACCAGGCAGGTGAACCAGGAAGTTGCTGGGAACCAGGAAGTTGCCAGGAAGTTGCCAGCTTTATGATAACATGGTTACTGTGGCTTCAACCCGTGAATTGTGTCTAATTGGGGGAATATACACGTCGCAGGGTCGGGTATTACCGTCTTGGTACTTTAATTTAAGTATAGAAGTAGGTTTTGTATTATTGTATAAGTTGTATCGATGTCAAATTGTCGGTCGCCCGATGTCTGTTTGGGTCTAGAGTTTTTGGTCAGATATATCAATTTAAGTCTGAGTCATCATCAAAAATAGCTTAATCTGATATATTAATAAGGTAACTAGTAGGATAATTAATTAAGAAGGTAACTAGTAGGGTAATTAATTAATGAGTTAAGCTAACCTGAGCCTCTGGTGGGGGGCAATAACTCTGTCTCTTATCCACCTCAACATCTAAATACTCAGGTAATTCTGCCTGAAATAAGAATAATTATGATAAAGAGAATTATAATAGAATAATTATAATAAAGAGAATTGTAATAAAGAGCATTATAATAAAGATATTTGCAATAGAGCTGGATTGGAGCAATAGCTAGAAGTAACAATTCCTCATTGAACTATAACGTTAGTTACCATGGATTACAACACACACAATCAATAGTAAATAGTATACAATACCAACAATACAACACAAAAACAGAGAACAACACACACGATTATAAGCTCTAACTTACGCATGATTCGGGCGCAACCAGTCGGCCTTCATCCATACTGTGACTTATGACTACCATCGCATATCTTAACCTACCAAGCGGAGGGTTTAAGTTTCATTTCAGGTTTTATGTTAGGTTAGGGTTCATGATTTGTGTCATGTGGTGTTTTACTTAACGTTCTCAACTTATGATGTTACAATATTATGTGCGTTCTAATAATAATAAGATGAAGCTTTACAAATGAATAAAGTCACGCACAAAGGTGAGGTGAAAGTGAGATGAATCTCAAAATATCATAATCTCTAAGTAGAGCATATTTAAAAAGTCATTATTTATAGAGCGGGCGTTTCAGCTCTAAATTTAGCGCTGAATCGCGAGAAGGTTGTCTGTATATCTATTGTCCGGTGAATCATGACTTGTGTAACTTGTGACACCCGCAAGCTCAATGAAGTATGACTTTCCGACAAAAGACCGATTAGTTTAGATCATATTACTAAGATGAAACATCAGTCTGATCTTCAGATGAACCCTCATTCACAGCTAAATTTAGAGCTCTAAATTTATAAAAAGTGCAACGACACCGTTCCTACTTGATGTTATAAGTGAAGTTTGAAAAGTTACTACGGTGATAACCTAGTTGTTAAGTTTATCAATTGAAACTGTTAACGGGGCCCAAACAACAAAGAGCTTTTGACGCAACGAAATTAGTTTAAAGTTAGACGGAAACGATGAGAGCAATCTCGAATGAAGAACGCATACCACATGCAAATTACATTTTGAAGTAGTTTAAACTGTTAAACTTTTATAATTATGCGACTTTTAAACCTATTAAATTCGGCTTCGTGTGCGACATTATTGGCGACATAAAATAATACTGATTATTGGCGAGGGAGGAATTGTGAAATTGTCGTCGATGGCATTTCCTCGAGATGATAATAACTAATTAGAACTTTGATCTCGAGACAGAAGGTTAAGGATTTAGCGAGCGATTAATCCCGAAACCGGATTTCTAGAAATAATATTTTACGACGGCATCAATCACTGCACTTTTAATTAATAAGCTGAGATCATCTTATTCAGGAATATTACATTTAATATTCATAATATTCTCAGACGAGTGGCAGATCTCTGAATAAGCGCTGTGAATTATCCGCACATTAGCACGGCGTACCCCTACCGAATTATCATGTGGTTAGCCGACAAAGTGTGGTTGTTGCAAGCATTCTGGAAATACCACCTCGCCCTTTGGAAGGTCTAGACGGACGAATACTCAAAACTGCATGAAAATCATTAATAAACAACACCAAGCATACGATAAATAAAATAAACCTACACCCATCATCAGCTCGCTAACTCCAACGATTAACCTACAACTTAAAAAGTGTGACGTCACGGCCATAGAATTACCAACCCAACGTTACCGGATCACATTCTACATAACGTAGTCGTAAAATCGTAAATTCCTCTAAAATGCTACCACATACGATTAACATCAGCTCAAAGCGGACTATTAACGAAGCAGGAAATACCCGTGAAGCAGACAAAGTGCGGTGTGCTCACGACAAAGTGAACTCGAACTACTAAGCACTTAACAACTACTTATCCGATACAAACCAGGCTGTTAAACTATCGGAGAGTGTTTAAGCAGGCTCGCTCGCCCGCGAATGTTTATAACAACTGTTTATAGCAACTGTTTATAAGCTCGATACTTTATGCTGTTTAAACAGCAGCGTAACCAGATATAACAACATCAGCACAAAGTATCTCACTCAACAAACAAGGCACGACACCGTGTGGAACAGCTTTACAGAGAGCCCAACACAAGCGACAAATTAGTAGCCAATTTGTCACACAACCGCGGGGTTATCATGACAACCGCGGGGTTATCATGACAACATCTGCCCAACTGTCTATCTCTCCGCCAATCCACACAAAACGATGACATGATATTGATGGACGAATTTACCAAACGGTCAAGTAGTAGTAATATTCAGTAGCAGGACACGGTAGAGATTATCTTTGGGTAATTGATCTTTAGTCTGCACCGAGCGAGGGAGAGAGAGGGAGAGGGAGAGAGAGAGAGAGAGAGAGAGAGAGAGAGAGAGAGAGAGAGAGAGAGAGAGAGAGAGAGAGAGAGAGAGAGAGAGAGAGAGAGAGAGAGAGAGAGATGGGATTGGGAGCATGTGGCATATAAACGTTCCGAGTATTAAATGTCATCAGGTATAATAGCGCTGTAATGGCTGTGTGCTATTAGCCTCATACTAGGATGTTTTAGCCGCTTAACCGCTTAAATTAGGTCCAGGCTGGTCAGGTAACACCGGCCATTACGACCCAACTTTCGGGGGGTTAACCGAAAAGTGGGCCCTGCTTCCGGGACCACCCATAATAGCTGACTGAGAGGCAAAATGGTAAAACTTTCTCTATATCCGGAGCTCAGTGGTCCTTAGTGCGCATTATTAGATCAGTGCACTGAAAAACGAGTGAAATACTACACAAATGAGGGGATGAGCATATTGCGGTATGCTTCACAAGCTTGGGTAGGGTTATTGCCAGGATGCCAGGATTCCTGAAATTCTGTTATTACGTCGTCAGATCGCCAGAAGCCCGGCGGAAAGGCCAGGTAAAGTCCGGCATCAACTTGCACAAAAGCGGCAGGAAATGAACATGACACTAACTGAATCCCTTCTTATCCTCTCTCTCCTCGGTAAGCGAGTTCGATACAAGTAGAGACCGGGTTATACAGGCGGTGTATAATGACATTAGGTGTGACCCGTGCAATAATTCCCTGATCAGCTGAGGTAATGCGAATACCCGGTCGGGAAACGAGCCAACATGAACCTTGTAAGCCGGGGGCAGAATAGAGAATAACAACGGGCAATGTGAGCAGTTACCCGATACAACAACAAGTGAATAAGCGGTTGAATTATGGGGACCTTGTTGTAGAACACGTACAATGTTACAGCCACAGCTATATTCAGGGGACTCACACGGATAACAAAGCGGAGAGAGAGAAGGCGAGAGAGGACACGCACAAGGACAGGAGTGAAAGTGAGAGTGAGGGTCACGGCACCATCTGGGAGAACACTAGTATGGGTACGCGGAAGCCTATTATGTGTACATGTTATTGGGTTGCTCCCAATTTTCAGACTCGGGTAGTCTGTCAGGTCCCAGTGTGTTTTAACATTAATACTATCATGTGAGAGAGAGTGTGTTATTTGGGAGCGTGGTCTCTCGGCTATAAAAACAACAGTTCATAGTTCAGCAAGCAGCTACTAAAGAAGCTGGCTAACCGAGCCGACACCAACAAATTAACAAAATGTGTCGGGAGTTGTCGGCTGAGGTGAACTGGCTACTGTTTAAATTAGCGATAATTGCTCGCTATAATGGGTTTTAGAGCATGCATTAGCCTCGCCAACAGCACACTGTCATGTTCAGGTGCCGTGGTTATTGACTACCAATTGGCATTATCAATGGGATATGTGCAGGCGGTAGAAAAATTGACAATTGGCAGCAGTGCCGGTGTTGCGCCCTGCCAAAATGCCAGTAAAACTACTGATTGTTAGTTTCAGTACTAATCACAATACAAAAACAAATCGAATAATTCAATTTCAAACTACTGCAAACAATACAAATCTGTAGAAAGTCTGCAACAATACAAACGACGCCAACAATTGATCAGCAACAAGAAGATAAAAACAAAATCAGAGGTCTAAATGAGGATCATGACCAGAGACTGCTGAGAGATCGCGAGAGAGAGAGAGAGAGAGAGAGAGAGAGAGAGAGAGAGAGAGAGAGAGAGAGAGAGAGAGAGAGAGAGAAAACAAAAGACCTCAGCTCAGGAATGTGTGACCTAATATCGCGGATCTGGTGAGCGAGAGTGTCATTAGCACTGCAGCAGTAAATACAGCGGCAGGTGAGGACGGGAGACAGAGAGAGGGATTACTCAGCAGGGAATCATTAGACAACACAACATTTCGTAATTCATCCCCCACTTCACACCCTAGTATATTTGTAAAGACATAATCGCAAATCATCATCAGCGGAAGTGTTGTCGTACCACATGGCACGTATTTATGCCAGATACTTCGTCGGACCTATCTATCACCAGGCCAAAATAAGTGACAGGTAGCAGAACCGTAGTATGCAGGACGTATAACAGCGAGAGGGGGTTGTAGGGCTGCACACATATATTCAGGTGCCATGGCAAGCGCCCAGGGAGATTGTAAGGGTTGTTGTGGGTTACATGTCTTCCCATTCACACGCTATCCAGGGGAGAGATGACTTAGGAAGACGATACTGTCAGAGGTATGGAAACTGTCGTCTACAAACCCAACACACACAGAGAGAGAGAGAGAGAGAGAGAGAGAGAGAGAGAGAGAGAGAGAGAGAGAGAGAGAGAGAGAGAGGCATGCAGGGTGTATAACAGAGCACTGTAGTGACCACTGCAGTGACCACTGTAGTGACCACTGTAGTGACAGGTAAGTGATCAGGTGAGTGGGAGAAATTCCGACAAGTACCTCACGTAAATCATCAAGTCTGAGAGGCAATTACAAAAACAATCGATTGTAATACTCCCAGCACAGCATATCAATGGTAAGACCACAGGATAATGATATCTAATTATACTTCATTAAAACATTCCAAAGGCGATCTCCAAGGAACTGCTAGAGCACAGGGAAAGAGAGGACAAACTCTAAAAGCCAAAGAATTGTGACCTCATCAAAATTTAGCACTTATCGAATCGTAGTCTCCAAATTACATT